AAACACAGTTCAAACATTAAGGAGTCGGCAGGGTGGACTTTCTCCCTGGGTTTCTTGGACGCCAGGGTGAAGGAGGCAGCAGTCGGGACTGAAGCCTTGTTGATAGGGAAGGAGGAAGCAGGCTGGTTCTTTAGGAGCAAGAGAATTTTTCCCCTGGGTCTATTCCCAAAAACATCCCTTATACAGAGCTTTACTGAGGGCACACCGAGGAATATGGCCCTCCGAAATCCTCAACCCTGTTTTCCCCACAGTGCAGATGTGCGTCTCACGTGGCCTCTAATGCACCCTTGAGGTGTGATGATCATTACATCAATATGCAGGTGTGTACGTAGGAAAAGTCTGGAAGGATACGTGTGCACCCACTGCCCACCAGTGCCCAGGGTGATTGGTTCTGGGGACTGAGGAGGGAACCAGGGTGAGGGTAGCAGAGAGCTGGTCCACAGGGACTTGTTAAAAAATAGAAGTGGGGCTCAGTTCCACCTGGTGTGAGTGATTCTGCCAGTGGCCAGTCCAGCATGGGCCAAGACTGAGGCTTTCTCCAGGTCTAGCTTGACCCAAAGGGAGATGGCAGTAAGACCTCGGGCATGCCAGCCAGAGTAGCTCCCCGTGCTCCAGCTGTGTGACCTCGGGGAAGGCTAACCGTCAGTTTCTTCACCTGTAAGATGGGCCCTAATGCCCATGTTGTGGAGTTGTTCCCAGGACTGCGTGGGATAAGGCAGCCTTTTATGTGTCCCACTTAGAATCGCAGAGAAGTGGCCACTACCTGTTGCCCGCCAGGGATCCCTCTCTGGTGATCCTCGGGCCAGATCTGCCCGCAGATATGGCTTGTTTGGCCAGCAGAGTGTTGGAAACTTTTCCAATTTAAGCACTGTCGGGCAGGGCCTGAGCCTCCCAAGCTCCTCAGGGCCCCCTGCTCTTTGTAGTTTCCACCCTAGCTCGCTTCTCTCTCCTACTTGTCTGGCCCCTGTGGGCTTTGGAGGGTGCACCCTGCCTCAGCTTCCCTCACTCTGACCCTCTCAGCCACATGTCTTGGAGAGAGCCAGGCAGCAGACAGCCAAAGGTCAGGTGGTGCTCCAGACCGTTCACGGAAGGTAGACGAACACATTTCAGAAGCCAGACGTCTCCTTATGAAAGCCAGGGTGCCCACCATGACTGTGCTGGATTGGAAGGCCTCCCCACCACCCCACCACCTCTTTAAAGGAGAGTGTTTCTGTCGCCCAGATGTTTCCATGGTGGTAATTTTGCGGAACTAGTCATTGAAAGCTGCCCATGCTGTCCTTCTCGAATAGCTACTGCCTGATTAATCCACAGCACGCACTTGCTCTGTGCCTCTGCTAAACAGAGAACACATCCATATAAACATGTAAAAGAGTGCTTTGAGAATCGACTTTTCTGACAGTCAGCAAATAGTAGCCTGCCATGCTGCAATTGAATGATTGAAGCTGAGTTCCTGTGGTGTAACACAGGCTTGATGGTTCTCGTTCTAAATTGCTGTGGAAACCTCCGTAGCAATAACTTGGCGAACTAGAAATGTAGTTAGAGCTTACTCGCTCAGCTTCAGGAAAGCTCAGTCTAGATAGACACCTCTGGGGTCTCAGATCCTGTATCCCAAGAGCAGATCAGAAGCCAAAGCGAGATGGAAAATGGCCTGGGGGGAAACTGACGGGCTCCCATTCTTCAGATGAGATTTTTCTCAGAACATTGTTAGAGATCAGTGCTATCCTGGGAGAAAAATACCTGTGTTCATTCCCTTACCATTCCAAAGTTGTGGCTCAGTATCAGCTGTGTGCCAGCTACCTCCTGGGCCCTTGGACAACATTGGTGGAGCCTCTGCTGTCCTGGAGCTTACCTTTCAGTGGGGAGCCAACACCTGAGTTAAAAAGCTGATAAACAAGGCCATTTCAGAGACTGGGAGGAAATACAGCAGGGTGATGGGAGAGAGGAGGGACCGGATGAGGGGCGTCTGCTCTAGAGAGAAGACCAGGAAGACCTCTCTGAAGACAAGGAGCCAAGCTTGCAGCTATCTGGGGCAGAACGTTCCAGGCAAAGGCACAGGTCCCAAGGTGGGAATGAGCTTGGCGGGACCACGGAGCAGCGCGGAGGGAGGAGGGGCCTGTGATAGGAGCGAGGTCAGGGAGGTCAGCAGAGACCAGATCCCGTAGGCCTCATTGGCCACTCCAGGGAGCTGGAATTTATTCTCAGTGCAATAGGAAATCACTGGGCAGTTGTAAGCAGGGAGCTGCCGTTATCTAAATTGTTTTGAAAGAAAGCCTGGCTGCTGTGTAGAAGATGCCGTGTATACATGTGGGCAGGCTGCAGTGACAGTGCAGAGGGGAAGCAGAGCCCACTTAGGAGGCTGCGGTGGTTGTTTTGGGGAGAGGTGATGGGGGCCTGGGCCAGGAGGCAGCAGTGCCTTCAGGGAGAGGAGATAGATTTGGGGTGGGTTTCCGAGGGAGTGCTGTGGGACTTCTGATTGACTGGATATGTGAGCGGGAGAGCAAGAGGAATCAAGGAGGACTCCTAGGTTTTTGGCCACTGATTGAATGGTAGAACCATTCTTAAGATGAGAGAAGACTAGGTCTGGGAAAAGTGAATGAAGAATTCTGTTGGGGTATGTTAAGGTTGAGATGCCTGTTAGATATCCAAGAAGAGAGATCACTTGGGGCTTGGCAGAGAGGTCAGTGTTGGAGATTAAAACAATCGAGAGTCATTAGCACAAGAGTAATATTTAAGGCCTTGGGCCTGGATAAGACCACCCAATGAGAGAACGCAGGAAAATCAGAAGGCCCAGGACCCAGCCCTGGGCAGCCCAGCCGTGAAAGGCCCAGGTGAAGGGGAGGAGCAGCAGAGGAGCCTGGGAGAGCAGGGAGGCAGGGGGAAGCCAGCACGCGCAGAGCTGAGAGGGCAGGAAATCTGCCGACAAGGAGGAGTGGCTGACTGCACAGACACTGCCGCTGCCCGGCCCTCGAACAGAAGTTCCGTCTGCATCTGGCTGCCTGCTACAGCCTGAAATTCATTGTCCAAACTAGGACCCTTGAGAGTGGAAAGAGGGCTCTGTGAATGAGGACGCTAGGAGTAATCAGTCATCCCAGACAAACAAGGGAGTTCCATCACCCCCATTAGTGGCGTCCTTGGCAGGGTGGGTTCTGTCTTGAGGTGGAAACAAAGGCCCTATGGAAGGGGGACGACCAAGAGGGAGGCAAGGAGAGCAGCCGTGGTGGTGACACTTGGAGTCTGCTCTACAGGTGGGGCGGCCCACAGCAATTGAAGAGAATGAAGCTGTTAATTCACACGACGTGGGTGAGTCTCTAAGCAATCATGCTGAGTGAAAGAAGCCAGCCACTGAGAGTTCATAGCATGTGATTCCTTTTAGATAAAAATTCTAGGGGCCAGCCCCATGGCTGAGTGGTGGGGTTCGTGCGCTCCGCTTCGGCGGCCCAGGGTTTCACTGGTTTGGATCCTGGGCATGGACGTGACACCGCTCATCAGGCCATGCTGAGGTGGCATCCCACATGCCACAACCAGAGGCACTCACAACTGGAATATACAACTGTGTACTGGGGGGCTTTGGAGAGAAGAATAAAAAAAAAATTCTAGAAAATGCAAACTTGTCTACAGTGACAGAAAGCTGATGGGTGGTTGCCTGGGGATGGGGGAAGGAGGGGAGGGAGGGGTGTCAAAGGGGTACAAGGAAACTTTGGGGGTGATGGGTCATTATCTTGATTGTGGAGGTGATTTCATGGGTGTATACGTGTGTTAAAACTCAAGTCGTGCACTTTAAATGTGTACAGTTGACTGTACGAGGTTTGAGGAAAGCGGTCTTAAGTTTGCTGTGAAGGGGAACCAGGGCAGTAGCGGGAGGAGGCGCGGCTTTGATCTGATTTGATTTGAGGCCTGACTGAAGGAGCGCTGAATACCTGCATGACAGAGGGCACGTGTGTTGGGAGGAGGAGGCGAAGGAGGCTAGCCAGGGGCCCTTTTGTGAAGGTTCCTGGTGTCATGCTGTGGGGCTCGCACTTCATCCCGTCGGCCTGAGCTTCTCCACCTTCTGGGTGCAGAGAATGGTCTGGAGAACCAAGTGCCCACACCACACCCCTCTGGCTCCCTCCGATGGCTGCTGCCACTGTGGCGGGACAGCCCGGGCGTGCTGACAGGGCGCCGCTTCCCGGGCTTCCGGGCTCTCTGCCTAAAGCCCTCAGAGCCTCAGCTTGTGCACACGGTGGGGAGCCCATGCCCCCAGGAGCACCATTCAACAGCAGGGCGTGGAGTCGGGGGACAAACGCCCCAGCCTCCCACCTTCAGAGGGACACTTCTGGGTGCATTCTGCAGGTTCCTCAGAGCGCCCCAGCGGCGTGGAGCCCCAGCTGCCCACAACAATGACCAGCTGAAAAACCTTTTTGGGCTTTCTCCTGCCCTATCTGACTCTCCTCACTCCCTCTTGGGAGCACCTATCAATAAGCTCAAGTCCTTGTCTCAAGCTCTGCTTTCAGGGCACCCAAAATATGACAGCCACGGAAGGCAGGGAGTCTGTGTTGTGTGTGCATGCCAAGCTTTTCTGGTGCAGAAGGCCCAGGAAGCAGACTTTAAAGAACCCGGCTATAGGCAGTGAAACAACGTGAGGGATTCACAAGGGGCGGTGGCTGGGCCCTATTTGCTCCTGTAGAGAATTAACTCTGGGGCAATGTGAAGCGAGGTTGAAGTAGCCAGGGACAGGAGGCAAGGAGGCCAATTAGCGGGCTGCTACCACTGTCCCAGCAGGAGGTGGTGATGACGAAGGCAGCCACTGAGGCCGCCTCTTTGTGAAAGTCCTTTGATTGGCAGAGTGTGTAACGCTTAGCACAGAAATGAGTCTGAGCCTTGTTTAACATCGCCAGTGCTGTAGTTTTATTAAGCATGTGTTTCTAGCGGCCCACGTATCTCTTTTTTATCTTCTACTTTCAAAATTTGGTACATCAGTCTGATGCCATGCATCTTCATTTTTTTAAATTTTGTGTTTTCAGGATCTTGACATTGGTGCCAAGAACATGAAGCTTTATGTCAACAAAAATCTCGTCTTTGATGGCAAATTAGACAAAGGAGGTGGAGAGGGCCCGGCTGACCAGAGCATCCTGGTTGGCCTGAAGAATGAGAAGAATGAAAGAATAGAGAAGACCGTTGATGCCCAGTCAGAAGAAAGCAAAGAGGCCCACAAGATGGCTGGCAGGGACGAGGACAAGGAGCTTAGTGTTGGTCACTCACTACCAGCTGGAGCAGTAGTGGATGCGAAAGTTTCCTCACAAGGAACTCTACTTGGTGAAAGGATGAACTCTCCCGATTGCATGAACAACAGTTTGTCCAAGTCAAAGGAACATTTCAGCTTGTTAGCAGCCCCAGCCTCGATGGGCGGCGTGCCCGGTGCCCCTCCCCTCTCCCCACCTGAGGAATGCCCTCCTCTGGACCAGGAGCTCTTGCTGATCCAACAGCTGGAAAACCTCAGGGGCAGAAAAGTCTCTGAGCCGCCAGGGAAAACCCCACCCTGGTTACATCCTTCTCCCACAGGGAGAGGCAGGAAGCCCAAACCCCTCTGGCTGAGTCCCGAGAAGCCGCTGGACTGGAGAGGCAGGCTTTCCTCAGATGACTTCATTGGTGAGGGTCCTGGGGAGATGGAGGCTGGGGATAAAGGCCCCAGGCGTGAGCCAAGGAGAGCGAGCAGCTGGAATGTCATCGCTGACACGAGAGCCCAGAGAGTGACCCGCAAAGTCTGCGATGATGACTTCGACATCTTCAGCCAGCCCTCCAACAGGGAGCGCCCTGCTAGTGGGAGGAGGGGCCTGAGGAAGGGCGCCCTCAGCAGCAGCCCTGGGGACGGCCTGCCAGCCAGCAGAGGTAAGCTCGAGAAGCAGTCTGCCTTGGGCGCTGTCGTCCCTGCTCGAGGGCCGCTGAGTGGCATGAAGCCATTTTGCTCCATAGGCCTCAGTTTCCTCATCTGCAAAATAAGGGGGTTCTTCTCAACCAGGGGTCACAAATTCACTGTCTCAGGGGCCACACTGGTGACATCAGTAATTGGAATGGGCAAGACACACTTTGCATGTTAAACTTGCAGATATATTTGTCATTGCCACCAGGATAGGTCCCTTTGCCCGTCTTTCTTGCAGTACATGGCTTTTCCAATCTCAACTGTGTTATTCCACCTCTGATAGAGACTTTGATCTCTAGTTACTCCACTTTATTCTTAACTGTACCAATAGAAAAATAGCACAAGTGGGATGATAAATAGCAATTGACCCTTGCCTGGGTGTTGGAAGTACTGTAGGGAGTGGTGAGGACTGTGGCAAACTGGAAGTACAAGCCCATCTACAGGGGCAGCCACTCCACTCAAGCTGCTTTTTGGCATTCAGGAATGCAAGGCCTATGTCCCAGATCTCCCTTTTCCTTTGATCAAGAGAAATCAGAAATGTAGAATAATTTTATTTTTCAACATTGGCACCTGATTGAGATTATTTTTAAACCACTGTGTGGGTCAGAAAAAAAAATACACATCTGCTGGCAAAACTCGCATGCTTTGTGAACTTTGCAGTGGATTATCTGTAAGGGCTCTGAAAGGAGGATACCAAAAGCTGGGTTTCTGAATATTTGCACTCAGATAATGTCCTGGGAAGGAGTGCAGCATAGCAACTAGGAGTCAAACCATTTGAATCCAAACTGTGCTCCTTCTGGATCTGAGACCTCTAGCCAGGTGCCTCTACTTTCTGGACCTCAGTGTCTTCATCTGTAAAACAGAAATGAACCCCCCACTTCTCAGTGTTGCAAAGAAGGAATGAGACGATGGCTTCAAAATGGTAACCAGAGCCTGGCATGTGGAAACTGCTTCTCGAGTGGCAGCCATTATTTGGACAGTAGCTTGTATGTCTTTTATCGTCCATAAAGCACATGGACCTACCAAGGCAGGACTCACCCCTAGATCCTCTGAATTTAACCCTAACCTGCAGCATCCAGGAGCACGAGCCCTGGAGTCAAACTGCCTGGGCATGGACCCTCGTTCCCCACCGCCAACCTGCATGTGGGCAAGTTCTGAGACCCCTCTGAGCCTCGGTTTCCTCGTCTGTAAAATGATGCTGGTAATACCCATATCATGGGGTGCTGGCAGGGTCAAATGAGGGCGTACGTGTGCAGCATTCGGCACAGTGCCTGGCACGCAGGAGCCCCCACCAGATATTAGCTGTTGCTATTTATTATTATTATTGTCGTTCTCGTTGTCGTCATCATTACTACCCGCACTCTGTGCCTCTGCCTCTTGGTTTTGTATCTGTGTGAAGTCAATGGATGTATTTTTTAGTGAATCAAATCGGCTCCTACTCTATTATTGTCTAGTAGACAGACCCTGAGGGTCTGCCTTCCGCCCAAGTCTACACTTAGAAGTGTGGAGAGTTCGTGGCCTCTTTCAGGTCCCTGTTATGTCACTTAGGACATCAGAGCAAGTCCCTCAGACCCTGAGTGCCTTCCTGTGGGTAAGGGACAGGCTCCGTTCTCCCAGGCAGAGCTGCCCCTGCTGGCTCCCCAGCCTTACAGACTTCTACCACCCACTCCTGCCAAGCCTTCACCCTGAGACTGGGTATCAGGGAGGAGAGCAGAGTAGAAGAGAAGAACCGGGAAGCTCTTCGAAGACAGGGACTGTGTCCTGTCTGTGTTGGGATCCCCAGGACCCGGGTGCCCAGCTCCTGGTGGGTCCTCTGCAGTGTGGGAGGAATGGCGGTAAGAAGGTACTACAGTGGCTGGGCAGGGCATGTTTGCAATGAGCCAGGCTCTCGTCCAGGCGGGTTACTCAAATGGGCTCATATAATTAATCCTCACACCAGCCTCATTTTACAGATAGAGAAGCTGTATGAGGTTTAAGTAGCTTTCCTCAGGTCATACAGCCAGTGAGGTTAGAGCAGGATTTGAACCCAGGCGGTCCCACTGCAGCATCCATGATTGGAACTGCTAACCTACGGTGCCATTTCCCCTGCTGTCATCACCCACCTGCCCTGGGAAGGCCTGGCAATTCTGACCTTTCCTGGTAAACAGACCCACAGAGCCTCTGGAAGTTCCCAGGTGACGGGCATCATTCTAACTTGTCCACGTTCAGAGACTTTGTCTCATTTTAATTTCTTTCCGGGCATTTTACTGCTTGGCTCCATGACACATTAGGAACCAAGCCCTTGAGATTTAATGCTTGTTAAGCCAGTCATGCTAAAAAGGAAAGTTGCTTAAAAATTTTAAATTACCCATTACATAGAACCAAATGCCATAGCCTTGCCCTTCAGGAAAGGGGCAGGCCGAGCCCTCTGACGATGCTGTGGAATGCGTGATGCCAAGGTCCTCCTGGGGCTGGAACCGTGTGATCACTGTAAGACAGAACCTGGAAAGCCTTTTGTCCAACAGAGCCTCTCATTGCAATGACGTCTGCATTTTGGAAGTGTCTTCCTCAGGGGTCAGTTGGCTACAGGTGAATGAAACCTCGTCAGCCCAGCTTGAGCAGTAAAAGGGGTGCTATTTGGGGAATGCTTGAGATGCTCCTGGACCCCCAGAGCAGGGAAGTAGCTGCTCATCACAGGGGATTGCAAGGAGGAGCCAGAGAGCCAGCAGGACCACAGAAGCTGCTCCCCGCCTCTCCAGGGCTGCTGGGCCCTGCCTCTGCCTCTTTGCAGGTCCACTCTCCTTCACTCTGCCCCACGAGGTCAGCTGTCTCTGCACTGTGCACACAGCAGGAAATGGCCTCACAGCCCTAACATGGCAGTGTCTCAGCTCTAGCTCCAGCGGCCAGTTCCAAAGTCTCAAGGGAGAAGCTGATTGACCAACTTGGCGCTGGTATCCACTGCTGGTCTAATCAGCTATGGCCGAAGGCCCTTCCCTGGGAAGGAACCCAGCTCTGTCATCTCTCACTGTGTACTTTTTCATTTCCTGTTTTAGTAGCAATTAACGCACACCTCATGGTGCTGCCTTTGATTTTTATAAACTCAGGTTTAGAACTTCATAGTTCACATTAGTCTCCACCGAGGAGTGGTTTTGCGTCTTCGAGCCCATTGTCTCAAATCGGTGGTCCCTCCTAGGCTGTGTTGACTAGAGATTGAAGCAGCGGCTTCCTATTGTCCAATCAGATTTGTGGGTAGGAATGTTGACAAAGATAGGACAAAGCACCTCAGCAGCTCCTCAACTCCAAGGACTACTGAGTAGTATGTTCTCCTGCAGACAGAGGGAAACGTGGGCCCCCAGCCTGCTGCCACGGCTCAGAGGTCCAGGAGAAAGTCCACACCTCTCTGCCTTTAAAACCCAGAGTGTACATCTCAGGGAGAATAGATGAGAAAGCAGATGCAGAATGAAAGCAGGGTCCTGCCTTCCTTGCACAGCCAGGCAGAGGAGCACGAGGTGAGTCCCTGATACGTGATCTTGGATGCTGTCTTCCCGGTGCACTTGCAGACCAACCCAGGCCATTCATTTCAGTCAGTGGAAACAAATCACAATACACTGAAGTCACAATGATCGATATGGGGAGTTCCTTTGGCCAGCTGCTAAGCCCCACGCCTGGACGAAAGGATGGAAGAAGGTCCTAGTGCCTCTTTTATTGGCAGAAGAGGAGAGGAGGGGAGAGAAGAGGTGCCAGAGAACTGACATGGCGGGGGGCGTCCCTCGGCCTCCGGGCCTGAACACAGACGTATGTAATGGTGGGGCCAGCCGGCCATCTCTTTACTGGAGAACATTTAGTGAGCATGTCCATGCACCAGGTGCACCAGGTTCTGTGCCAGGCACTGGGACACAGCAGGGAAGAGGGCAGAGAAGGCCTCTCCAAGAAGGAGGGTGACAAGGAGGGCCGGCTCCATGGGGATCTGGGGAAGAGCATTCCTGGCAGAAAGCACAGCAAGGACAAAGGCTCTGAGGCAGGAAGAGACCTAGTGTGTCCATGGGACAGAAAGGCCGCTGTGGCTGGAGCGGGGTGATCATGGGCAGAAGGGTGTGAGGTGAGGTTGGAGAACTCGGTGGGGCCACACTCAGGGCCCTGTGGGCATGGCCAGGAGTTCGATTTTCTTCGTTCTCAGCGTAGTAGAGACAATGCCAATTACAGGGGTCTATGACAACCTCCATTTTAGCCACACAGAGTTTGAAGTGACAGAGCGGACATGTCTGGACCTTCCAAGGGGTCAATGGTGCCTGGGGAGAGATGCCAGAACTTGGCATATAAAATTGGGCAGTACTTGCATAGGAGCCAGGAGCTGGATGAGAGCGAAGAAGGATGGCAGTGTTGGGAGAGGACTGGATGGAGCTGAGGCCTTGGGATGCTCCCAGGCTTGGGGTATGGGGAGGAGCGGAGGCTAGTGTGATACAAAGGGAGGAGCTGTCAGCGGTGGGGGAAGTGGAGAACCAAGAAGGCAGAATGTCTCCTAAGCCGGTGGAGGAGGGAATGTCAAGTGGAAGAGCTTTGCCTGGGATGTACAGCATGAGGACTGAGAAGAGACTTGGGGTCATTGTGTACTTGGAGAAAGCTGTTTCTCTAACTGGAAACTTCAGTTGATTCATTATGGGAATTGTAGGACTCTTATGGATGCAAGGCACAGAAAGCCACCAGGGATTTGACTGCAAGCACAGCTGGGTCCTGCAGCTCAAGTGATGTCATCAAGACTGTCTCCCCATCCCTCCACTGACGTTCCCCATGTTGGCTTCATTCTCAGGGAGGCTCCCCCAACAGTGTAGCAAAATGGCCACCAGCATCTCCACACCTACTCCTGCCAGCTTAGCAGTGCCAGTTTAAAGAGAGCCCTTCTCTCCCCATAGTTCCTTTCATGAGCCCAGCTTGGAAAGATGCTGTCAGCGTTCACCTCATCTGGATGGCCTGAAGGTGGGGGATCCCCAAAGAAATATCAGGGTGTTGTTCCTAGGAGAAGGGGAAGTACAGTTTGGGTGGGCAAAACAGTAACTCCCAAGAGGAGCCAGGTGGCGGGGGTTGAGGGTGGGCAGTGGCATGGAGGATGCTGAGTGTCTGCTGCGAGAGGCGGTTGCAGGGAGCCACAAGATCAGGTCGGCTTCCTTTTTCTTCCAGGTAGGAGAGATTTATGCGTGTCTGCAGGCAGAGAGAGGGGAAGGTGCCAGTGGGGAAGGAGTGATTGAAGATTCTGGAGAGAGAAGATAATTGATGGAGCCAGGCCCCCTAGGAGCCAGGCAGAAAATGGAGCTCAGGGCACAGTGTGATATGAAAGGAGAAAAAACAGTGTCAGTGTCATCAGCTGCTGTTTTTCCAGAATGACACTCTTAGGTGGCAGTTAGCCATGGCATGGTTGTGAGGACAGGCCGCTGCCTGATGAGCACACGGGGCTTTTGTGTTCTGCAGGGAGGGTAGCGGGGCCTTGAGACCCCATCCGAGAGCCAGACCCCTGCTCTGCACGTGCTCGGGATGTAGCGTCAGCTCTTGGAGCCCACTGAGCCCCATGTAGAAGTAAATTCCTTGCCCTGTAACATACCTGGGTTGTTTGGTTTTTTTTTAATAGCATTTTCCCTGATTATAAAGATAATGCGTGTACGGAACTTAGAAAATAAAGTGACAAAGAAGAAAATAAAAATCCTTCCTACGCACCACCCACAAACGATCATATTAATGTGTTGGCACATGCCACCCATACTAGGATATGCCACATCTCAAATGGCTTATCTGGGGCCGGCCCCGTGGCCGAGTGGTGAAGTTTGCGTGCTTCACTTCAGGGGCCCAGGGTTTCACTGGTTCAGATCCTGGACGTGGACATGGCACATCAGGCCACGCTGGGGTGGCATCCCACATAGCACAACCAGAGGCACTCACAACTAGAATATACAACTCTGTACTAGGGTGGTTGGGGAGAAGAAGGAAAAAAAAAAAAAGATTGGCAACAGATGTTAGCTCAGGTGCCAATTTAAAAAACAAAATAATTAAAATAAAATGGCTTATCTGGCTGTTTTCCATGGAGCATGCCTTTACAAGCCTCCCACCTGCCATCAGGCAGTCTTTGAAAACACCGTTAGAGTCACGTGACTGTGACAGCCTCCGGAGCAGCCCCTGGGGCTGCTGACTTGGACGCCGCAGGCAGCAGCATTACCGGGTCCTGTGAGTTTCCGAAGTGGAGACTGACCTCTGGCTAAGGTTCTAAGGCAGCAAAATAGTCTTCCCTTCATTTGCATGGTGGGTTGCATTCTTAGAAAATTCAGAGCACGTCGGAAAATACTGCTTTTTGTAAAACAGCTGAGTTCCAGACTAGGTAACCATAAACAATTTTTTTCCAACCTGAATGCTGTGTGAGACAAGGAGACCATGCTCTGTGCCTGGACTGTCCCATGAGTGCAGGATATTAACACCCCCGGCCCCACCCATCAAGTGCCAGTAGGGCCAACGGGCATTGAGACAGTTAAGGGCAACCCCACCGGTTTCTAGAATGTCCTCCTGAGGGTGAGCCCACCCAGCTGAGAGCCACTGGATGAGACAGTCTCTAAGGGTCCCCACTTCTACACGAGCCACTAATGGGGCTTCACACCTCCTGTGTCCTTTCTTCCAGAAGATGCCTGGTCCACCAGGATGCCACCCCGGACCCCGTGGTGCAGTGAGCAGGAGCACACACTGCATGAGTCATGGGACTCCCTCAATGCCTTTGACCGCTCCCACCGGGGACGCATCTCCAACATGGAGTTCCAGGGGGACATCCTGGATGAGTTCCTGCAGCAGCAGAAGAGCAGCCGGCACAGTGACCAGCCGCTCCCCTGGAAGGAGAAGCTGGAGCCCATGAAAGGGCAGGACAGCTGCTTCCTAGAGATTGATGACGCGAGCGACTTTAAAATCCCTGTCTTGCCTTATGGACAGCACTTGGTCATTGACATCAAGTCTACGTGGGGGGACAGGCACTATGTTGGCCTTAACGGAATAGAAATATTCAGTTCCAAGGGAGAGCCAGTGCAAATTGCAAACATTCAGGCAGACCCCCCTGACATCAATATTTTACCAGCCTACGGGAAAGACCCCCGTGTGATCACCAACCTCATAGACGGGGTGAACAGGACCCAGGACGACATGCACGTCTGGCTGGCCCCCTTCACGCCGGGGAAGTCCCACTCCATCTCCATCGACTTCACGCACCCTTGCCAAGTCGCCCTGATCAGGATTTGGAATTACAATAAATCACGGATACATTCCTTCCGCGGCGTGAAGGACATCACGATGCTGTTAGACGTGCAGTGCATCTTTAAAGGAGAAATTGCCAAGGCCTCGGGAACCCTGACAGGAGGTACAGTATGTCTGTAAGAATGTTCTTGAAGCCCCTGCCTGCTCCTTGCTGAGACTCTGAGGAAAAACTAAAGCCACTGGTGAGCCAGTGACAGATAGGTCTCTCCTCTTTCAGAGCCCTGGCCCCCCTCACCTTTTACAGCATGGGTGTGCAAGAGCTGGCCCCAGTGAAACTCTTCCACTGGGTCCTGGGCTCACTCAGTTTCCTGGGGGCCCAAGCCTGGGAAGGGATTCTCCTGCAGGGGACTGATTGAGGAGTGCTCTCAGGAGAGCTGGAGGGCAGGGAGCGGGGCAGGACATGGACGGGGAGAAGCTGGGCAAGGACCTGTTTTCCGGGAAGCCCAGCCCCATCCAGAGGGGAGCCGGAGCTAACCAGCAGCAGGGCTTGGCACCCTGCAGGCTCCCCAGGTTGGGGGTGTAGCTCCCCCGCCCTTTCAGGCAAGGCCCCCTGTCAAAAGGATCTACAGGGACCTGGGTGGGGCCCCTCCCTACGCCTGAGAAGCCTTGCTTCCTTCCTGACAGAGCACAGTGACTCCCGTCAGGCAGGGCGCCATCACTGGGTCTGTGTGGTTCTTACTGTCCGTGCGTTCCACTGGCAGACGTGAAGAATGAGGAGGCTCGCTTACGCAAACCCAGGACTGATAGTGGTTTGGGATTTGGTAGCACAAAGGCTGGTGAGGTTAGGTTCCTGGGGTACAGATCATTGGGATTTGGGGGGAGCTGACTCTTCCCTCTTCCTGGTAACCCTTTCAGCCCCAGAGCACTTTGGAGACACAATCTTGTTCACGACTGATGAAGACATTCTCGAGGCCATCTTCTGTTCTGATGAGACCTTTGACGTGGACGTGGAGGGCCTCTGCGGCCCGCAGTGCGAGGAGGCGCTGAGGAGGCCCAGCACGGCCGACGGCGACGGGGAGGAGAGGCCCTACACCCAGGCCGGCTCGGGGGCTGCTGACCGGGTAGGACTGGAGGGCGGGGGCGCCCCTGCAGAGGCTTCTCCCCGCTCAGAGCAGGGGAGCGGGCGGGAAGACAGAAGGTGGATGTCCTTCAAGCTGCTCGTGCTGCTGTTTGACAGTCCCATTTTTCTACTTCATTTTTGGTTCTGTACGTCATATTTCATTCTCTAATTATTTTTTATTTTTATTTTTTTAACCAAAGCGAGGAAAGTATTCAAATTTTAATCAAAGCTGGGAGAAATCAGTCTGTGTCATCTCCGTAGTTTAGAAGTTGGCAGTCTCAGGGGAATTTTTGCTTTGAGTTGTGTTTTGATCACTCGTTGTTGTTTTTGATGGAGGGACTAGAAATGCTTTTAATAGGCAGATTTAGAATTAGAGTAATGACAAGCCAGGCCATCGCCTCTTGTTTCCACGTCGTGATCCAGTTGTGAAGCACTGTGTGACCGTGTGATCGTGTTTAACCCTCCTGACACCCTGGGAATAGAGACCATTAATACCCCATCCAGGAAACCAAAGCTCAGGGACTCGCTCAAGGGCACGCAGTGGGAGAGTAACAAGGCTGGAACTTGAAAGCAGGACTCCAAAGTCTGTGCTTTTAATTGACAAACAGATTTTTTAAAGATGAAAGATGACCTTCAGGGCAAGGGTCAGTCCAAGGTTAAAGAGCAATAATCAAGGTGAAGAGCCCCCAGGGTCTCCAGGTATGTTCTTGAGGCCATAAGGAGAAAGAGGAGATGGTTAAAGAGGGTAGGGGAGGGCGGGAACCACTAGAAGCCAAAGGATGGAAGGTTCAGCCGTGGCAAGGTCCTGATTGAGGCGGTGCAGCCACACGCCCTGTCCATCCCACCGTGTTCACTGGGGTTGCAACCTGCAGGGCTGGGCAGAGCATCATGCAGGATGGCAGAGGTGAGGCCCGGTCAACTGGCGAGGGTGCCCCTCTCGCTTCTAAGGAGAGAAGCTGCCACTCCACCCAGACAAGAGTAGCTAGCCCATGGTGACAGTTGTCCTGATTTTTTTCAATCAAGCCAGAAACCTGGATTTTTATGTAAAGTCTCTCAATTGAAAAATGTTGGCAACTAATTCAAAACGTTTCCAAGCCTTCTTTGGGCCACAGAATAGGTCTGTAGTCTGGGTTTGATCCATGGCTTCCAGCTGGGAGTTGACCTTGACCCTTTCATTTGCCCAGCATTTTCTAAATGGTGAAGTCCCTTCTAAGGGGCTCTGGTCAGATGCAGCCCTGTGAGGGGCAGGGAGGGACTGTTCTCTTCGTCTTGGAGACAAGGAACCCAAGCTCAGGGAAGCCAGGGTCATGTCAGGGCCACACCCCTAGCAAGTGGCGGGCTGAAGCTGCAGCCACCTCTCTGGGTGTCCAGGTCAGTGCGTCCACCAGGGGAGCCCTCGGAGGCTCAGGGAGGGCAAGGGAAGGCACGCGGGTGCCAGCGCAGCACCCCATTCCCTGGTGGCCCGAGGCTGCCCAGCGGTGGGCTGTTCCGGCAGGCTGCCCTCTCACTCTCTTCCCCGTAGCTGGGCAGGGGCCTGGAGAGGCTGTCCCTAGTGGCTGGGCCATGGGGTTCAGCAGGTTGTCAGTGGGACTGAAACACCATCCCCACCAAAACTCTAAGATCCGGACAAGCAACTTCACTCCTTTCTGTATCTCAGCTTTCCTGTCTGTCAAGTCGTCAAGGCACTTGGACCCAACTTCTGGTGCAGACATCTAATGAGCAAAGTTTATAGATGAGACCCAAGAAGGAGGGGGTGGCAGCCCACTCTGACCGTCTATAGAACAAGTGTTCTTTATCCTGGCTACCCATCGGAATCCCCTGGGCAGCTTTAAAATGCAGATGCCCAGGCCCCAGGGTTGAGAACCACTCTCTATGGTTTGAGCTCCCTCTCCCTCCCTCTTTTTTCTCTCCCGCCTTCCCTTTTCCTCTCCTTTCTTCCTTCCTTCCTTCCTCTCTTCCTCTAGCTCACTAAATAAACAATTATTGGGTCCTTCCCTGTTCCAGAAAAAATTGAATCACCTTAGCTGGTAGTGTCAAACTCCTGCCCTACCAATAGGAGCTTCTGTCAAGGACTCAGACCCACACAGGTTTCTGGGCCTGCCCATATTACCAGTCCCAGAGCTTTCAGAAGGACAGGAAACAATGAGAAAGACACAGGGCTTACCTGGGCACAGGTTGGCAGCCGGAGCTGGAAACACGGCCAGCCAGTGCTGTGGGCATTGCTAAAATCACCCGTTTTCCCTCTGCTTCTCCCCCAATTCATGTGTAGGTCCTGGAGCTAGAGCTGCCACCCAGTACCCCCGTTCCTGAAGTCACTACTCCGGAGCCAGGCATCTACCATGGGATCTGTGAGTACCGTCTTCTGGGGCAGTGCCAGGTAGAAGGAGGAGTTTTAAGGGTCGGGAGAAGTCACGGCCACTTAGGATAGGGTTTCCTTGGACAGTTGGGCAGGTTGTACACTTCACAGAGACACCAGGTCGTGGGGTGAGTGGCAGCTGAAACCAGCCAGTGCTCAGCCTGCCAGCCCTGGCAGGGCTGTGTTACTTCCGAGCAGGGGCCCCTCTTTGCAGTTTGCCCTCCCAGAGGGGCACGTTTGCATGCAGACACCTCATGTGTTAGCCATGGCCCTGACCCAGGAGGCTGCAATTGAAGCCCAGAAAGCGTAGAACGAGAAGAGGTAAGAGCCAGAAGCAACCTGAGGCATCTGTCAGTCCAGTGGTCTGAGCCGTCCCTTCAAACTGGACCGCAGAAGATGCCATGAGCAAAGAAACCTGCGTCCTCCCTGTTCCAGGTGGGGCGGCTGGAGTCGCGCCGGCCGGGGTGGGTGCCAGGTCTTCTGAGAAGTCAGAAACTCGGGTTTTTATGTGAAATCTCCAGATTTTGATGACTAATTTTATAATATTTCAAAACGCCAAGGGTCAAGACAAAACACGTGTTGTATGTTCCGCCAGCCAGCTGCTGGTTTGTGGCCTCTGAGCGATCCCATCTGGGTGTCACTGAGTCTGTTCTTCTCTTTCTTTTCCTGTTTTCCCTTCCACCCAGTTCCTCTCCCACTCTGTGCACGTGCCCACCAGCACCTGTGTCTGCGTCCTGGGGAATCTCCAGGCCCAAGGTCACGCTGACTGTGATCTCCCCCTCCCGTTCCCTGTTAACAAGGCTGTCGCTCGCTCGCTTGCTCGCTCCTTGCAGTCTCACCTCCTGCTCTTTCTTGCCCCCGTGCATGTCATCTGCTTCTAGTTATCTTCTGACAACAAGAGATGTGCCTCACCACGTCACGTCCCTCTCCCCGCCTCCCCACCGCCGTCTCCAGACCGAAGCCGGAACGTCCCCGTTCAGCCTCTCCCTTGCTGCACTCCTCCCCACACCATCTCCTGAGCCACCCGCGGGCTTCCGTGTGAGCTGTGCCTCAGCCAGGCGTGCGCTCCCTCCGTCCCTGCCCATGAAGGATGGGGTGTCACCGATGGCGTTCCCTGAAGCAGACTCTTAGATGGAGTTTGCTGGGGCATACTCTGCGGGGGTGGGGGGACAGGAAGCAGGACTGGAGGAGGAAGAAGCTGGGCCTTCTGCAGTCAAATCAAGGCCTCTGCCAGCCCCGCAGGGAGCGCTGGAGCTGCCATGGCCCCGTGGAGTTGTCCTGAGTTCACCGAGGGGACCGGGCCTTTATACACCCGTATCAACGTGTCACTGGGTATGGGCTGCTCCTGGGGAGGAGCAGTGCCAAGGGCAGTCACAAGTGGGCGCCTCAGCCGTGAGCTATCAGTACTCCCAGGCCCTGGAAGAATGAGTCTTTCAGTCCTGGGGGTGGGAGGTGGGACCGGGGCCGCGCCCCGCAGCATCCTCCTCCCCAGGAAGTCTTCCCTGTTGTGCCCAGTGAGAATTCATCTCTCCCTCCCTCACTCCATGGAGACAAGTTATCTCTTAGAAAAGAGGAAGATGCCTGACTTTGAATCCTCACAGCCCCTTATGTTCCAGAACACTCTCTCAGACGCTTTAGTGCAACAGGAGAACTTTAAAAACCAGCCTAATGTAGGCAAGCGCCTGGTTTGAGGCTTGGTCTTGGCTCCCATTCAGGCACTGTGCTGGGACTCGCCCTGCCTTATCTCAGTGAACACTCACCACTCTTATTCTCTCCATTTTCCAGATTAAATTAGGAAACTGAGGCTCAGAGAGATTGAGTAACCTGCCCAAGGTCACACAGCTAGTGTGGAAGCCAAGAATGGAACTATGCATGTCTAATTCAAAGCCCATGACCACACTGCCTTAGGGCTCTCGCTGAGAGGTGTGTGTGAAGCGGAGCTGTGAGGCCCTAGAAGACAGCAATGATTTCTTCTTTTGTCCATGTGGGTTTTTTTGGTGAACAATGGAAATTCAGTTCAAACTGAGTTAAGCAAAAAAGGGAATTTATTGGCTTATGCAACTAAAAAGGTCAGGAGTTGCTAGTTTCCCAGAAGGCTGGATCCAGGGGTGCAAATGACGTCATCAAGCCTTGGCCTCCCTCCCTCTTTCTGCCCTGTTGCGCTCTCTCTTGCCCTTCTCCCCTTCGGACTCTGTCCACAGGAGAATTCCTGGAAGCTCTGGCTTTACATCCACCTTCTGCCCGGCCATCTCAGAGAAAAGAGAACTTTTGTTTCCCAGTAAGTCCAGCAATTGTCCCAGAATTAAGTCCTTTCAGCCTGGCTTCAGTCACACGCCCGTCCTTAAACCAGTCACTGCGGCTCACTGTGGAGGGGAGGGGAGAGGGGTGCGAGATGGACAACACGGAGTAGCCAGGCCTGGGTCGGAGGCCTTGGCACCCCTGGAGCCAAGGGGGAGGGGTCAGCCACTCAAACAGTATTCCGGAGGAGGTCAGAGTGCCATAACCAGAAGAAGGAAGGAAGAAAGGCCAGAAGAAGCCACTGTCCCCTTTGTCTGATGGTTTCCCCAAAGATGCTGTTTCTAAATGTCTTTCCCACTAAACTGGTTCTGACCTTTCTCAGAAATGTTATTTCAGTGCCGTTGGGAGTTTTTCCCTGGAGGAGAGCTCAGAGACCTTTTTGCTGCAAGGAGAGTGTAAGTTCTCAGCTTCTCTGCTCGGTAGGAAGGCAGAAGAACCTCCTGATGGAGGCCATTCCACACGTCCTGCAGCCTTTGGTTCCTGGATCTCTCTTCCCTGAATCCTTGGCCTTGCGCTTTCTGAATCCAAGATCCTAAACCCACTTTACCAGCCTGTGCAAATGGAGAGAGCTTGGAGAAAGTGACCCAGGGGAGGCAGCAGGGTTGGTAAATATGGCCAATCCTATTAAGGTTCTGAAAGGCGATATATGACTTGCTAATTTGCAGATGACACTAATTTTGGAAGTTTTGCAAATATTAGCAGTGATGAATAGGAAAGGAACTGAGAGAGTTGAAACATGGGAGAGAAATAACAAAATTAATTTCCATTTATATAAATACTAATTGATACACCAGAGGAAAATGAATATGGAATGTGGATAACAAAGAGAGTAATGGCTTTCGGAGCAGCCCCAAATTAGATGGCATCACAGTGCATCTTGCCAGGCAGACAAAGGCTGGCACCAGCTTGGAGGAGGCTGGGTGCTGTCTCTGGTTCCCAGGGGGAGTGGCGTTTCTCCCTCCCAGTGATCCCTCTCATCCAGATGCTCTCCCTTCTCTGCCTCCCAGCCTTCTTTAGCTCAGGAACCACACCCACAGCCACTCTGCCACTGGGGTCAAAAATGTCTTCTCTTTCCCTCGTTCCATACAGGCCATTGAGGATCCTGGCAAAGCTGTCTCCAGAGCACATGCTGAGTCTGTCCACTTCTCCCCCACTTCTACCACTGCCGCCCTTGTCCAGGCCATCTGCACCACCGCAGCCTCCTCCCAGGTGTCCCTGTGGAGTCCATCTGGGTGTCCTTTCCGAGACGCCCAGTGGATCCAGCCACTGCCTGCTTCAAAATCCAGCCTTCCTTGGCTCCCCATGGCAGAGAAGAAAATCCAGACTTCATGACGTGACCCAACCCCTGCCTAACCCCTCTGATCTCACTTTCCTCTGCCTTCTCTCTCCGTCACTTGGTTCAAACCACAGGTCAAATTTGTTCCCATCCCAGGGCCTTTCCCTTACTGTCCTGTCAGCCTAGAATGTTCTTCTTCCAGAAATGCTGAAGAATTGTGGCCTTTTTCTCGGCACCCAGGTCTCAGCTCAAATGTCACCTCCTCAGAGAGAACCCCCCCTGGACACCCCTCCCCCTGTTCAGTCCTTCGTGTCCCTTCTCTTTTATTTTTTTCATGGTCTGCATCACGGTGGAACCATCGTATTTGTTTGTTACGTGTTCATTGTCTGTCTTCACTACAGTAGAGGCTCTTAGAGTCCAGAGGTTCTGCTATGTGAGACCCCTGTATCTCCAGTACCAAGAACAGGGCTTGGTAGATAGTGGATGAGCCATTAATATTTGTCTGCCATTGACTAGGAATTTGGTGAAACTCAGTGGTTTCATTCTAGTTCATTTACCTTCAGATATCTACTGATCACCTACTCTTCAACCAATTATTTGTTTTCTTAAAAAAACAACTTCTATTGTTTTTCTATTCTATTCTATTGACCATCTGTTTTTCAGGCACTGTTCTAGGCTCTGGGAATACAGCAGTGAACACAGCCCACAGTGTCCCTGCCATCAGGGAGCTTCCACTTTAGTGGGGAAGATGATGAAAACAAATAAGCAATGAGTATAGAATATGTTACAGGTGGTGATAAGAGTTATGACAAGAAATAAAGCAAGGGAAGTGTTTAGAGAGTGGTAAGGGTGCTATTTGAGCTTGGTTGGTTAGGGAAGGCCTCACAGAGTACAGACCCTTGATGAGAAGGAGTGTATCAGTTAGCTTTTGCTGCTGAACAAATCATCCCAAAATTTAGTTGCTTAGCATAATCACCATTTATTCATGATCAGCTCATAATTCAGTGGCTTCCTGTGCAGTTCTCAGCTGAGCTGGCCTGGCTGGCCTCTCCTGAGTGTGCTCATGTATCTGGTCAGCTGACAGATGGGCCGGCAGCTGAATGACCTAGGATGTCTTCACCCACACGCTGGGAGATGACGGGTGTAGGAGAGGAAGCAGAGCTCCAGGGAGGTTGCGTGGCTTGGCCTCACTTCGTATCCACAGAGACGTCCTGCGACCTCCTTGGGCTTCTGCCTCCTCGTCTGAGCTGAAATGGGTGGGACTGCACGACATCCAGGCTTCCTCCTTTCAGTGCCCCAGTGTTGACAGTCTGTGAAAGTTGCAAAGATTGTGAATCTTTTCAACACAGCCACCCAAAAGGGTGCAAAATTGGCTCCAAATTCTGCAAGGGTAGAAGAGTTCGCTGGGCTTGGTCCTGCTCGAACAGGAGACCATAAAGGAGAGAGAAGTTCCAGCCAAACGTCTGACGGGGTTGGAGCAGTATCTTCACTCAGTTTCTGGGCAAAGGGATGACTCACCTGGGCTGTTTTGCCCCAGGACCACAGAAGGTCACTTCTAAACGGTCTCTGATGGAGCAGGGGTGGGGCAGGAGCTAAAGGATGGAGGTAGGTCCACCATAGGTCACACTTCCTCTACCCTGAATCCACATGAATCCTCATGATAGTGGCCAACTTGCATAAAATGTCCATTTCCGATATTGTGGCTTATTGATGTAACTGCCTCCATTAGCTACTTGTTTCATCATTCCATCTGTACTGAGCTCCTACTATGTGCCAGGCACTATGCCAGGCTTAGGAGACACGATGGTCTAACAAAACAGATGAGGTTTCTGCCCTCAGGGAGTTAACTGTTTGGTGGGGCAGACAGTTATTTACCAAATGATCACATGGTGGCCAGGGCATGGAAGAAGTTCACAGTGACATGGTAGGCTATGAATGGAGGTCTGACGTGGTCAAAGAAGTCAAGAGGGCTTCCCTGGGGAAGTAAGCTGGGATATGAAGGATGAGCACAAGTTAACCAGGCCATGTCAGTGCCAGAGAGTGAGAACAGCATGTGAAAAGGCCCTATGATGGGAGAGAGGAATGTAAATATGAGTGACCTAAAGATAATCTGGGTGGAGCTGGAGATCCCTGATGCAAGATGAGGTTAGAGAAATAGGTAGAAGCCTGTTGGCCAGGCAGCATGGAAAGCCTTGCAAGGGTGTTAAGCATGGGGTGAAGTGACATAATGGATAAGTGGAGAAAGGAGCCAGGGCCATGTACAGGTTTAAACAACACTGGTCCATTCATCCTGCAGACATTTCTCAAACATCAGCAGTGTCCAGACCCGAGGGCCACCAGGAGGAAAGGTGCAGAGCCCACCCTGAGGGCACTTTCATTTGAGTCTGGGTTTTCAAGGTGGTAGAGTGCAGAGGGTAAAGGTCGTTCCTCTTCCCGTCTCCATCTTGGGTACCTCCTCCAGAACCTCTGGTGTTCACGGGCCACTTGTCTTCCTGTTGCAGGCCTTCAGCTGAACTTCACTGCCTCCTGGGGGGACCTGCACTACCTGGGGCTCACAGGCCTGGAGGTGGTGGGCAAGGACGGCCAGGCCCTGCCCATCAGCCTGCACCAGATCTCCGCCTCTCCCAGAGACTTAAATGACCTCCCCGAGTACACCGATGATTCCCGGACCCTGGACAAGTAAGTGTGTGTAGACAGCTTCCTCTCAGAACAGCAGGGCTCGGGACCTGTTCTGCGTCTTAGACTTCAGACGCGAACAGCACATAGCATCCCCCGTTCCGCCTTCTCCCAGCCACACCGTGAGGTCTGTAGTCTTCTCGTTTTAGTGACCTCCCAGGGCCACACAGCTGGAGGTGGTAGACGACATGCAAAGCCAGGTTCTCCTGCTTCCAGACATGACTGTGCTTTGTTTTCTCCACCATGCTTCGCGTAGGGCCTTGAACGTAGCAGCTGCTCGGTAAGGCTCTGCCTTTACGGATGACTGACCCCATCTCTCGGGGCTGAAAGCTTGCTCTTCCTTGAGACTGTAGGTGATTGTTGAGAAGTCTCCGCAGGTGGCTGGGGCTGCACTGCGCTCTGCGTTTGTCAGATTTCATAAGCCCAGCTGGGGTCAAGTGAGTAAGAGGACAAGCCTGAGATACAGCATTGATCTCATAACCTGCAGACGGGTCCTCGGCCCCCCTGCTCAGACAGCTGATGGGCCTGGGCTCTGCCTGGCAGGTTGAACAAGAGCAGTCTAGGGGAGTCAGAGGGATGAGAGTTCAAATCCTGGCTCTGCCCCTTGCCAGCTAGTAAGTGTGTTTCTTAACCCCTCCAATAATAATAGTAATAATAAAAATAGCTGAAATTAGAGCTGCCATTTTTTGAGTACTTATTAAATGCCAGATGCTGGGCTGTGTTGTACAGGTCACAGATACTCATCCACTGAAACATTAAACAGCCTAAGAGGCCCCCGTTTACGGATGAGGGAACAGGTACAGAAAGGTTAGAAACTGGCCAGAGGTCACCCAGACTAGTTGAGTGGCAGAGCCGTGATTGGAATGCAGACCCACGGGAGACCAGCACCCATGCATTTAACTGCTAAGTTAGACTGTTTGCCCCTGCCTCGGTCTCTGTATCACTAGTTAACCAGGCCACGTCAGTGCCAGAGAGCGTGGCTAGGGGGCAGGAAGGGGACTGTTACATCACAGTTTGCCCCCCTGCCTGGCCCAGAGTGCTTTCAGGGTCAATGCTCAGCTCTTCCCTGCTTTCCTGGAAGGCGCCCCTCACCCGCAGCCCTCAGGCCCTGCAGTGATTGCCTGCTCCCCAGCCACTCTGCGCTCTGCATCTTGGCCAGTCCCACTCCTGCATACTCAGACTTGGGGCCTGGGACCCAGCTCCTGGCTGTCAAAGTGCCCAGCTCGTGCTGCCTGGCGTGTTCATCCACACCCACCACTTACTGCCCCTCTGCCGGGTTACGTCACAGCAAATCCCAAGCTTGGTAGCATTTCATCTCTGCGTATTTCACTGTCTCTCTAAACAATGAGGACTCTAAAGAGAAAACATAATCTCAGTACCACTATTACAACCAAAGAAATTAACACTTATGACTTAAAGGACTAGAGGCCCAGCGTGATCCTGTTTCCCTGACAGCCCCCTCACCCCTTTCTCAACAGTTTTTCCCTTGAACTGAGATCCACGTAAGGCCCATACATTGGATTGGTTGATATGTCTCTTACGCTTCTTGTAATCTAGGTTCCCTTCCATCGTTTTGTGTTTTTTTCCTTGTAAATTATCTGTAGAAGAAACCAGGTTTTTGCCCTGTAGAGTCTGGATCTTACTAGTTGCATCTCTATGGAATTATTTAACCCGTTCTTCAGGCCCCTGTATTTCTTGTAAACTGTTCACTAGGTCTGGAGGCCTGATCAGACAGAGGTGTGACCTTAGGACAGGACATGACCGCTGGGGTGTGGATGTCACTGTCACTTCAGGACATATCCAATATCTGATTGTCAGGTTTTTGGTGATGTTGGTGGCCAGTGATGCTCAGTGGCTAAATCCACTGATTTATTAGGGGTTGCAAAATGATGATACGCTGATCCTATCATTCTTTATTTCATCAGTAAAGAGAAAATTTCCCTCAATTATTTGGTTATTCTAAGGCACAGTTCAAACAGGAAAGGCAGTCTAAATGCTTAATTCTTTTCCTTTATTTTTCAGTTTTCAAAATAAATTGTTTCTCTAGCATCCCTTAAAAACGTTTATTTTTGACTATCATAAACTCATGGATTGAAATGTACTGTGACTGTGTTTGGAGGGTTTCAACCTCTTGTGGTTTTTATCCTATTGATGCCCAAATTGTCCCCTCTCAGACACTGGCAGCTTCCGAATCCTTTTTTAAATAGTAGCCTCTGGCAGCTTTCCTGCTTTCCGATGTGACAAGATAGTCCAAGCTCATCCTGTATATTTCTTGTCCCAGACGTGGAATCAGCCATTTGTCCAAGAAACCCTGGTTCTTTCCATTGTTAAATGGTCTTTAGAGACCATAATACAGCCACTAGGGATGCTCATAGCTGCTGAGTCGTTTCTAGGCTTTTCTGTGGACAGAGCTAGGGAATGTCCCTTTGATATTCTTGAGGGTGTCTGCAGGAACCTGCCTTCACCATCAGCTGTAAAAGCTTCACCAGTTCTCTCCACTCTCAGAATTGGGCAACAGTTTTGCTGTGGAGGTGGCCCCAGTCCCAGGACAGAGAAGTAACTCCTTTGGAAGGCTGTGGAATGTTCTCTAGTGGTAATCCTCAGTCAGCTTAATCCCACAAACACCCTAGTGTTAAATTGCTGAATTTCCTCAGTTAAAGGTGCCAGCAATTGTAAGACACACCATCCATCAAGTTAATAACAGCCTTTTAGAGGAAAAAAGAAAGATTACCTCCTTGGATGAACACTTAGGTTGTAAGATTTATTCCAAATTCAAAACTTTAAAATGTAAAAGGGAAAAATAAAGTTTATTTTAAAATCTAGGAAATGTGGCAGTAGCTTGAATTTCTCCCAGTGCAGCAGCTTCAAAGTCACTGGAGAAATAGGAGTGAAAGGGGAAGGGGTTGCCCAAATGGCTGAGAGTTGGGCCCCTGTCCCCAGGGCCAGGCCTCTAAGTGGCAGTGCCAGACACACGGGCCAGAGATGCACGAGGATATGGGTCTGGGTATGGCTGAGACATGCTGGGCAGTCGGGGCAGCCAGTGGCAGGACGGTCTGGGACAAACACAGGCAGAGTTGAGGGGAATGAGGCAGGCTGTCCGGAGCAGGAGAGCCAGAAACTGGGCCTTCAGGGCGGCAGAGCAGCATGGGCAAGGTGACAGGGTTGCTCAGAAGAGTGGCTGAGAAGAGCACAGGGGTGCCAGGGGCTCCCTCCCCATGGCTGGGGGCTGCACTGGGACACCCACACTCTGTGCTTACAGGCCAGGCCAGCTCCCCACGCAGGCACCTTCCCTGTTCTTGTCCCATGCCGGAAGCTGCCAAGTTCACCCGGGTGCTGCTCTCTCTCCCCTAGCATGAGAAGGAAGGGCTAGAATTCTTTCAAAATGCACCATAGAGTCAATGCGGCATTTTACAGAAAGTTTGGACAATAGAGAAAAACAGTCACTCCCATCCCCTCTGACACAGTATGTTTTTCCTTTTGCATAATCTCTCCTGGTCCTTGTCCTCATCTGACAGCATTAACATCAGTGGCCCTGCTGTCCCGTAGCCTTTTCCTTGTCGCTGTGTTGTCCTCAGGATTGTCGTTTTCACAACTGTACACATTACCCAACCCTTTCCCTATTTTGAAACATTTTAGGTTATCTCTCTCTCCTTTTTTTTCCCTAATGTAAATAATGAATGTCTTTGTGCAGATGGCTTTCCCAACATGTTGAATACATTTTCCATAGGGGGGAAACATTCCAGAAATGGGATCACTGGGTTAAAGGATCCTGAAAAATGACACATTTCCCCTTTTTTTTAAACCTCGATGATTGCTTCACTGCACCTTTAACAGCATAGACCATTATTCTTTCCGTTCTCTTATTTTGTCCAATTTCACAGATGAGAGATGGCCCTCACTGCGGCTTTCACTGGCCTCACCTCCCTGAGCGCTCCTGCTCCAGCCGCTGGTGCAGGGTGATGCGTGGGGGCACCCCCTATGCTGGAATTTCTCCTGAAGGCCTGGGCCGCCCCCGTCTCACCGCCCCTTCCCCCCGTGTGCAGGTTAATCGATGGAGCCAACATCACGATGGAGGATGAGCATATGTGGCTGATCCCCTTCTCGCCGGGGCTGGACCACCTGGTCACGATCCACTTCAACAAAGCCGAGAGCATCGCGGGCCTGCGCTTCTGGAACTACAATAAATCTCCTGAGGACACCTATCGAGGGGTAAGGCGGGGAACAGCGGCTGCCCTCCGTCCGCTGTCAGGGAGAGGGCGCCTTGATGGATGGCTGGCGTGGCTGCCAGAGAGGGGCATAAATCCTCCAGAACTTTCCAAATGGAGCTGGGGGGTTACGGCCGGGGAGAGAGTGTGCTGCTCTTCCCTCCTGCAAACAGCAAATGCAGGCTGGAGCCCAGGGCAGACTCGGGAAACCACTGCACCTTGTTCATTCCGGGGGTTCCCAACTCACAGTGGTTCTTGCGGCCGTGCTCATTGAGCACTTTGGGGGCCCGGCCCTGGGCTGAGGGCTCCACACATTCGTCATTTTGTTGGACCTCGTCCCAGCCTCTGGGGGCAGCTCTTATCACCCCATCTCTCAGAGTATTAGAAGCTGAGGTTCAGAATGGGCTAGTCGCCTGTCCATAGCCACACAGCTAGAGCCCCTGTCCATGTCTGCTGGGCTTGGAGTCCACACCCTAATTTCCATGTTGTGTTCTTCTGTTGGGTGTGATAAGGCAGGGGCCTCTGCTGGAATGTGGAAAAGAGCATCGCAGGTGCCCCTTGATGTGGCCTTTCCTGTCTGTGTGACTGTGAAACATCTGTCCCTTCCCACTGCGTAGAGGGGTGATGGTAAGAGGGGTCAGGTAAGGTCACCTGAAGCGCAGCAGTGCAGTTAGGGCCCCGAGTCCCAGGGCCCTGCGTCTGAATCTCAGCTCTGACCCTAACCAGCTGTGTGACCTGGGCAGAGGGCTGCCTTCCCTGGGCCTCAGTTTCCTCATCTGTAAAATGAGGAGGAGGAGGAGACCTGCCTCAGGAGGGTCGTCTCACCCTCTGCCACACACGAGCTGACAAAGCCAAACTCGGCCTTGGGCCCTGTGACCCCCGTCTGGGCACCCCCATGGACATGCCAGAGTCTTTCTGCGGGGCCGTCAGAACCGTGGTGGGTACCACGGCGGAGTCGCAGGCCGCGCCCCCCAGGCGCTGTCCCTCTGGAGGACTGGCTTCTCTGAGTCTGGTTTAGAAATCCTCCCCAGGCCGCCCTGGTGTCTTTATAAGCCCTCTCAGGTTCAGCAGGTTTAAGAAGTCAGATATACTGGCCTTAAAAAAGCATTCTTCTGCCTCAGCTCATGCCTCTGGGCCTTTACGTCCCCTTGAGCCGGTTAGTCTTTCCACTGGAGCTTCCGCGACCCAACTTCACTGCCTGGATACGTTGGGCTCAGAGCCCCTGCCTCCCAGGTCTGGCCCCACCAGCCTCGGTGCCAGAGATGCTGGCCACCGTGGGATGAGGGACATGGGGAGAGGGGCTCCATCTGAGAGGGCGGATCCCAGGGCGCAGTGTGATGGAAACTGTGGCCCCTCTCCAGGAAGATGCATCGGATGCCTACTCTCCAAGGCCCTACTGGGCACCTGGGGCACCTGGCACGTGGTGAAAGCCAGGCCTTGCACTCCAGGAGGTGGGGCTTCAGATCCTCCAGTGTGTCCTTGGGCAAATTGTGTAGCTTCTTGGAACTCTAGTTTCCTTAGCTACAAGATGCGAGTGATAATAAAAGTCCCCTCAATGGGAATGAAGAGAGTCCTGGGGAAGTCAGGGATGCTTCCTGGAGGAGGTGGTGGCCTTGAAGAGGGACAGGGGCTTCCTGGGCCTGTGCTTTTGTCTGTTGCCAGCTTCCCTTCAGATGGCTTTTTCCACAGAGCAAACCCTGGCAGCGGCAGGCTTACATCCTGCGTGCCCCAAGTCCAGCGGAAGAGAGAACTCCTCTCGCAAGGCAAGCCGGCAGAAGCCCAGGGATTCTTCTAGCCAAGTTCCACGACCCTGAGCCAGTCATATGGCCAGTGGGTTACAATTGTCACTTTGGCCAGCCCTGGGTCACAGGTCCAGCCCTGGGGCAGGGGTAGGAATTAGCCCTAGGAGAAGCACAGTGGAGAGGTAGGGACAGGCTTTGGGTCCCCGTATCCAGCCATGCCTGAAGCCAGTCACCCTACACTTTTTAGGTTTATGTAGCCCGTGACTAACCAACTGGCTGACATGAGGGGAGGGGGGCTCCCTAAATGCTGAAGGAATGAAGGGCCCCAGAGCCGCATTACTTATCCATGAGACCCAGGACAGGGCCCCTTTCTTTCTGCGTGGAGGAGTCCCTCTCCTCTCCCAGAGGTGAAATCCCACCAGCTTGGTCAGCACTTGGGCCCGGGGGCTCACCATGAAGATGGGGTAAGGTGCCAAGGAGCCCTGATTCCAAAGTGTGTAGTCGGAGAGAGGGTGCTGGCTTGTCAGAGCCCCTCTCTGCCCCCCACTGCTGCCCAGGGGAAACAGCTGAGTGCTTCAGACCTGCCATCAAGGCTTTGAGATTTGCTGGTAGATCCTGGCCATCTGGCTGGTGAAATCTGGCCTACAACAGGGGGACGTGTTGGCCCAAATCCAGCCGATTCAGCACGCTCTTGGTAAGCATCTGCTGTGTGCCAGCCCTGAGGCCAATTCAGAGATGGTCCAGCTGGGGTCTCTGCCATCAAGGGAGACCCAGAAACCACTGAGAACACTGCGAGGGAGTCCATGCCCTAAAAGGACAGGCTAAGGGCTCTGAGAAGGAAGATCAGGAAGGGGCTCATTCTGTCCCAGGGGAAAGTGCTAGGCAAAGTGGTGACGTGTGAGCCAGGGTTTGAAGAAGCATCAGGACAGGCTAACACTTACCGAGTGTGTATTTTGTGCCAGGCGCTGTTCTATTCTGGATACTTTATATAAGTTACCCCATCACTGAGCCCATTTAACAGATGAGGAAATTGAGGCATAGGGAGGTTAAGTAACTTGCACAACTACAAATGGTGGACTTCAGAGTCCATGCCCTTGACCACCATGTTGTACCACCTCAGGCTGCTGCAGCTGAGTGGACGGGAGAATGTCTGTGTGTGTCCACTGTGTGTGGCAGGGGCCTCACCTGCCTTGTCACCTGCTGTCTGCCTGGTGCCTAGCACAGCGCCTGGCAAGGAGGGGGGATAATTCTGGAAAGTGGGCCCTGCCCAGGTGGTTCTGGTCTAGGAGAAAGGCCAGACCCAGCTATTTCTCAAGCCTGAGGGCTCTGAAGGCTCTCCGTCATAAATGCCAGCTGCCAGCAGCACCAGCCGTGTCAGCACGCACAGCTCTCCTCCCTGCTGGCTCCTTTTCCTCAGGCATATTTTTTCTTTTGTTTGCTAGGCCAAAATCGTCCACGTCTCCCTGGACGGCTTGTGCGTCTCCCCTCCCGAGGGCTTCCTCATCCGGAAGGGGCCGGGCAACTGCCACTTTGATTTTGCTCAAGAAATCCTCTTTGTGGACTACCTCCAGGCTCGACTGCCTCCCCAGCCGGCCCGGAGGTGAGGGGTGCGCCAGGAACATCCCCTCCCAGCCCCCGGGCGCCCGCTGTGCCCCGTGCTCTGAAGTGTACACGGAAAGGTTTTGAAATGATGATCAAACGCATCGCTTTTCAACTTGGCCGTTTTCAAGCTCAGCCAAGCCTCTCCAGAAGCCTGGGGAATGCGCCCACCTTGTCTGGGATGTTTGGGTTCTCACAGTCTGGAGTGCTGGAGATTTTAAATGCTTCATTGCACTTCCTGCTGAGAAAAGAGGCCCCGGCCTGCCTTGATTCCAGAAGTGCCCGCCAGCCGATTCCAGGAAAGGCCTTCCTTCCCTCGTTTCCGTGCTGCTGATTTAGAAAGAGTCCAGGAGATAAATAGAGCCTAACATTTCATGGATTCACTGGGATTTCTCGGCCCCATCTCAGCTGCATTAAGTTCCTAACAATTTGTAAATGCCACGTTAAGTTTACTCCTTTAAACCCCCTGATGTCCAAATGCCAGAGGCCGAGGTCTGGAAAGAACATGAGTTTCCCTCCAGTGTAGCTGGGATCACTTCTTGGGCCAGTCGTGGGAACAGTCACTTAATTATAACATTGCCCTTGAAGTCGAAGGGAACTAGGCCAGAGCTAGAGGGCAGCGGCTGGGGACCAAGGAGAGCAGCCCCACAGGGAGGAGCATGGAGGAGAGCTCTCCCTCCCAGTGCCTGCTCTGTGCCACATGCTTTGTATTTACCCTTCAGGGAATCCTTCCACCCACCCTTGGAAGGAGGGATTATTATGCCCATTTTACAGATGTGGGAACTGAGGCTCCAGCTAGTGAAGCCACTTGCTCAGGATCACAAGGCCAAAGCCCTCAGCGTGCTCCCCACCTTCCAGCCTTCTCTCCCTGCCCTCCTCCCATCCTGCCCTACACACCAGTCCCTGGCTGCCTTCTGGGTCAAACACCGACCACCCAGCCCCTTCCCACCTCAGGGCCTTTGCTCTGACTGCACCTGTGCTTGGAACACCCAGCTCTGACTCTTCCCGTGGCTGCCTCCTCCTCAGCTCAGACATCGCCCCCCGACCACCCCACTATGTAGCCTAACCCCACCCAACACTCCACCCCATCACCCCATCATGAGTCTTGCTCAGCTCTCAGCTCATGTGGACCTACCTTATTCATGAAGGGCAGAAGAGTGGGGTGCTTAACAGAGTGGACTCTGCAACTGCTCAGCCTCAGGTCACAGCTCAGTTCTGCCACCTTGGGCAAGTGGCTTCACGTCTCTGTGCTCCAGTTTCCTCACGCACAGCCTAGGGATGTGAGTACCCACCTGCCAGGGTTGATAGAGGCACAGAAGAATCCACATCCATGAGCCCGAGAACACCCTGTGCTAGCATTGGTGATGACTGAGCCCCCGCCCACAGAATGGGCACTCCCTGCCAGCAGAGGCCTCGGGGGGGTGGGGGTCTGCCCCACTGTCTCCCAGGGAGCATGAAACTGCCACATGTCTTCAAAGTCTGGCGCCTGGGGAATCGCTGACCAGCGAGTCTGGGCTTTTGCGATTTTCTGCTTCCTGGTGCTGTCTTGTGTTTTCTCAGGCTCGACACAAAAAGCCTGGAGCGGGCGAGCATGGACTACGAGGCGCCGCTGATGCCGTGTGGCTGTATCCTTCTCCCACCCTGCCTGCACTCCCGGGCCCTTGTGGGCCAGGCTGGAATGCAGGGAGAGGGCAAAGCCCTTGACATCTGGCCTCAGCTGCTGACCAGGGTTTCAGGGAGGCCCGAGCCGAGGTTGCTGGAGCACCACGCAGGGAACCAGAGGAGAGGACCGGAGGGTCCTCGGGCAACTGGGTGCTGCTGGGACAGGTCGGGGCAGCAACACAAGGTCTAGATCCCGCCCCCTGGTGGGCTGAGGGTGCAGGAGGGCCCAGAGAAGCTGGAACTGACCCAGGGACTAGTCTAGGGGCTCCCCTTGGAACTAGGCAGGGAGGGGCTGAGGACAGAAGGAATAATCACTCAAATTTACTGGACCCTTTCCACGGCCTGGCACCGTCTGCAGTGGGTTGCCCGTGTTCACTCACCACAGCTCCGTGAGATGGGCACTGTTAGCACCCCCATTTCACAGCTGAGAAAACGGAGGCCCAGAGAGGCTAAGTAACCTGCCCACTGCCACATAGCTGGGAAGGAGCAGGGCCCAGTTAGTGAGCACAGGCAGCCTCCTCTCCCACCAGCCTGTTCTTCTGGAAGCACTGCCCCTGGCTCTGCCATCACCTGGGAGCCACCCTGCTGCTTCCCAGGTTTCCTGCCCTGCCTGCTCTGGGGAACGCTGGGGGCCAGTGGGACAGGGCTGAGGCAGGCTGGTGCCCGGGTTCGAGTGTGGGACTCAGTCAGCAATGGCAGGTCACCCTGCACGGCCATCCCGCCTGATGCTGTCAAGCTCGCGCATGCCCCTTGCACACTTGAAATGGGCGGAGGAGGGAACAGGTACTCTGTTCTTGTCATTTTGCAGCCGGGTAAACTGAGGCATGAGGCAATTTGAGGCCTAGTCAATTTCAGCACCATACAATGAGTTCGTGACACAAATGTTTCCCCTGCCAGCTCCCTCCCAACCCTCCCTTCCTACCCTCCTGTCCTGTCTCCTGGAGAAAGCTTTTGAATTCTTAAAGCACGCACAGAAATACCTGGTTACAGTGAAAGAAAGTCTGGTGCCACGTTTTCATAGGCTTCAGTCTCAGTGAGAGGAAAGCACCAGGTTTTTTCTCTCGTTCATCCATATAAACCAAAAGAAGATGTGTCCGCATGCTGTCTTTGTCGTTGTTTTACTTTGTTCTCTGTTTTCCCTTAATCACGTGTTGCAGTCATTTTCCAGTTTCAGCTCCTGACCAGCTGGGGTGACCCCTATTACATCGGTCTCACTGGCCTGGAGCTGTACGACGAGCACGGAGAGAAGATCCCCCTGTCGGAAAACAGTATCCTTTCTCAGCGGAGGGCTCCACTCCAGCCACAGGGGGCGCAGGAGGCTCAGGGAGGAGCAGGAGCCCTGAGCGTGGAGGGAAATGTCTGTGGGAACCAGACCCCCAGACTGCGGTGGGCAAAGCTGTGAGCAGCTCCCAGCCGCGCCTGCCAGGGCATCCGTAATGGGAATTCCACAAAAGCAAGAGTCCTGGGGTCCAGGGAATTGGGAGAGGCTACAGCTGCAGTCCTCTGCTAGAGAACCATGGGCACTTTGGAGTCCTAAAGGCTCTGACAAGGCCTGCAGGGAGCAAGCTGTGCACTGTGTTAACTCACCGTGTCCTGAATTTATTGACCACGGAACCCTTTGCTCATGGAATGCCCGCACCAGAATTTGCAAACTGTTAGCCCAGTGAGTTCTTAAATATTTTAAATTAGTTACTAATATTTTTCAAAAATCAGAAGGTTTCACACGAAAACCCCGATCTTCAGCTTCTTTTGAGAAATTGGCAATGCAAGGCCACAGTCAAGCAGAGTGATGATGGCTGGACCCGAGTATCCACTGGCCCTTTCCCCGAGCACACCCTTCTAGTTGATCTCGGTCCTCGCTCCTCATTGTTATCTACCACGCCCCCGAAACATGTTGGTAATATTTACTGAGGGCTCCCTCTGTGCCGGGGCTTGTCGCAGGGTACCTCACTTGCCCTTACTCCTGAAGGGAGTGCTGTTATCCCCACTTTGCTGATGAGGAACTGAGACACAGAGATGTTGGGTAACTTGCCCAAGGTCACACAGCCAGTGAGTAGTGGAGCTGGGAGTCTGGCTCCAGAGACCATGCTCTTGACCACTGAGCTGTCCTGCCTCTGTTATTAACCTGCCTGACCCTTCAGGGCTCTTGGTCTGTGATCCCCGACTCACCACACTTAGAGAGCTGTCGGAGCAGGTCAAACCCCAGAGCCTGCCTGGCATCGATTTGGGGTCCTTGGGTTCCTGTTGGACCCTTTCTGCCTTCCCCTGGTGACACCATCCTCCTCAGCCGGGATAAAGGATTCTCAGTGTTTTTGATTGTTCTTAGGGATTCCTGGGATGTATAAGGCCCCATTGGTTTTACGAGAGCACTCACATCCGGTGTCCTCTGAGGTCTTGTCAATTCTGGGACATACAGATGTTTATGCTCATTTCACAGATGAGGGAGCCGGCCCAGGGAGGCCCTGTGAACTGCCCAAGGTCTCGCAGGTTGGAATGGCAGAGCCAGGGCTGGAACCGGGCTCTCCGGATCCACACTAATGCCCATCAGTAGGGAGCTGGGTCAGGCTCCCCTGCTTCCAGCCTTGGTGCGGTCCTCATGTGCCAAAACAGCCCAGCCAGGACCCGGCCCCTTGCAGAAGAGACAAGTCTGTGCAGAGTGTGCCTGCCCTTCTCCAGAGCAGCAGCCACATTCTGGTTCCTGCCTCCAGCACTTCCAGGAAACGCCTCTTTTTCAGCCAGCTCTCTGCGTGGTTTCCTCCCTTTCCATGAAACTGGCCACGCCTCCACCCCCTGCCCCCCACCAACCTCCATGCTCTCATTTTCCCCAAAACTTAGTCTAATTCAGCTGTCACTTCTCTGGCAGCCCAGAGCAGCAGACGGCTGCTCTGCTGGCCCGCCAGCCCCAAGCATCTCCGTCAACATGATGGAGCTGGCGGCTGCGAGTGGCCCATGGTGCCGAGCACACTGCTTTGGGTTATGGCAGCTTAGAGGCCTCCTCAGATATCGCCGCCTTCCCCGACAGTGTGAACTCCCTGGAGGGTGTGTGTGGGGACATCCGGACCCCTGACAAGCTCATCGACCAAGTGAACGACACCAGTGACGGCAGACACATGTGGCTGGCTCCCATCCTGCCGGGCCTGGTGGGTTCCAGAGGCTCCCAGCCCTGGGGTGGGCAGGGGGACTTTCTCTCCCTGGTCTCAGTGACACATCTTCCTTCCTGGCCAAGTTAACTTTGAATGAGCCAAAATTCCTGGGGGCTGTCAGGAAGGCTGTCTTTGCTAACACGTCTGACGGGGTCGGCTCTTCCAGGCCAGCAGTTCTTTCTCTTTGCTCGGGGGTGATTCTTATATGGAGACACTTGGGAGACAAAGAGTCACATGGGACTCTGAAGCCAGGAGCCACAGCACAGCAGGCCTGGGGGACTCGGGCATCCATCGGTGCCTGTGGGCATCGCCCTCTGTTCTCCGGCCTCTGCTTCTCTCTGCAGCCCACTCTGCCCCCTTCCTCCCAGCCCCATCCTCTCCACAGTCACCTTTCTGCTCCTTCCTTACGTCACGGGCACTTGACTCCAACCCTGCCCTCTCTCTGGCCAAATCTGCCTGGTCAGCCCTTCTAGCCAACTGACTCAGTTTCCCAGATCTTGCACCCTGCAGTTGGTCCTGCTTGTCTTTTTGCTCCACAGCCTGATGGCAAGCCTGGGGCGTCCTGCACCCACCTGGGCCTGGTCAGTGTGGTAGAGAGGGAGGAGACAGGCCACATGGGACAGGTGGGTTTAGCAGCCACCAGCCTCAGACGCCTGGGGAGAGCTGTGCAGCAGGGTCTGGGGCATCCGAGTGACCACGGGCGTGTCCCCTTGTCCACTCCATGTGATTGAGCAGGAGGATGAGGGGGTCCGTTTTCCTCTGGAAACACAGGCAAGGGCATCATCGGTGGTTCTGTGACGGAAGTTTCCCATGCCTCCCAAATTGCCCCCCCCATTGTGTGTCCATCAGCTTCCCTTGAGACGAGGCCCACCCCTTAGCCCCTCCCCACGACTGCACAGGGGAAACGCATAGATCTATCAGCACTTAGACCCGAGGCCGCAAACCCGTGGGCCCCTAGCCAGTCCAGCCGCTGCCATCTTGAGCTTGGCCAGCAAGCGTCCATCGTCTCACTCGAAGGCCTTTTTGTGGAGGGCAGTTTCTCCAGCTGTCACTCTCCCAGCGGAACTCAAACATTTGTATCTGCTTGTGCCCCGTGAGTTTGAGGACTGACATCTAGACCTTTATTATTTCCATGGTACAGTCAGAAGTCTGACCCCCTGCCAGCAGCACCCCGCCTCCCCGCAACTCCCCTCCCCTCCTTGGGGCACGGTGAGGCTGGCCACAGGCTGAGACCCAGGGCCTGGGCCTCAGCTAAGCCTGCAGCCTGTGGCCAACGCTGAATGCTTAGTGCTTGCTTCTGTCTTGGGAGGGGCCCCCTCGTAGTTCATCTTGTTGGGCGAGGGGGAGCTGGCGGGGGCTGCTGCGTCCCGCTTTACTAGCTCCTTCTGTCTGGCGGCCCCTGCTGCAGCAGAGGGTCACAGACGCCCGCGTAAGGTTACCCAGCAGCGCCTGGCTCCTGGGCTTCTCAGTCCTGGCCGAGGAAGGACAGACAGGGCTCAGGGCTGTGCTGGGGCCGGGCGCACTACTCCTCAACTCTGGAGCTGGGGCCTCTCCCTTTGGCCCGCGGAGCCCCAGACTGTTTCTGGCCTGACCTGGGGGAAAGGAAAGGATGCACCAAGTCTCCACGGGTATTTAAAGGAGGGCCACGCCAGGCCCTCCAAGAGCCAGCTCAGCAGTTTGTTGCAAACGCAGCCGCACATGACCTGACTCAAGATGGGCTTCCAGGAGCTGAAAGGCCGCGGGAGCGCCACGCTCCGTGTCCCTGAGCAGCCCTGGCCGGCCAACGTGGCAGGCGCTGCCTCAGGCGCCCACCGGGCTCGCCCCCTGCCCGCACCCGGCACCCCCGCCCAGCCTAGCGCCTCTGTTTCCAAACATGCCTGTTTTAATTAGTTCTCTCTGACAGGTGAACCGGGTTTATGTGATTTTTGATCTGCCTACCACCGTGTCAATGATCAAACTGTGGAATTATGCGAAAACACCCCATCGAGGGGTGAAGGAGTTTGGCGTGAGTACTTATTAGCTGGGTTTTCTAAGATAATTATGCTCGTTGGTAATTAGGCCGCCAGCAATTATCATTTGTCGCAGTTTGATTTACTTCTCTCTGTTGCAACCTCAGACACAAATGCCTGGTCCTCAGACGCAGGGAAACTTGCCATCCAGCCATGAATTCCAAACCCCCCCTGAGTGATTGGAATCATCACCCGAGAAAACAGAAAGGGGCTTTCCTTTCATCTTTTCTTGGCAAATCATACTGGTTTAGGGAGTTCATCATGCCAGGAGGCAACTCGGGGGTGAGGAGAGCAGGGACCGTGGGGGCCGGAGACCCAAGTTTGCCACCCAGCTCTGCCCCATGAGCTGGAGGTACTTAAGCGCTTTGAGTCTCAGTGTCCTCATCTGCAGCCATAGGGCCAATGGCATCGCCTGTCCCCATGGTGGGAGGGTTGAAATCATAACGCGGCCTGGCTCCTAGTAGGCCAGGCTCCGAGCAGTAACGCGCTTTGCCCGAGGTCACATGAGGGGGACCTGCAGGCCACCTGGTGCAGCCCCTCCTCTGTGTCTGTCCAGCTGCTGGTGGACGACTTGCTCGTGTACAACGGGATCCTAGCCATGGTGGGCCACCTGGTCGGGGGCATCCTGCCCACGTGTGAGCCCACAGTGCCCTACCACACTATCCTCTTCACCGAGGACGCGGACATCTGTCACCAAGAGAAACACACCACCACCAGGTGCGCCTCAAGCCTGCTCACAGCCTCCCCTGCCAGCCCTAACAAGGAGGATGGCAGGGACACGGGCCTGCAGCCTGATCTAATCTTCCGTCTTCTCCTCCTCGCAGTCATCACGTGGAGGACCAGGATGTCCAGATGATGAATGAAAACCAAGTCCTTACCAACTCAAAAAGGAAGCAGAGTGCGGTGGACCCAGGTCAGTTTCCACTCTGCCCAGAGCATGCCCTGCGGCCAGCCCCTTCTCTGTTCAGACCAAACTTCAGTCCCACTGCCCCCCTCGCCCCTGTCTGCCCTCAGCCCCCTCGTCTCCACCCTGGAGCCTGCCTGGGGGCTGAGGGGGCAGAACCCAGGGGCAACATGCCGCCTTCTTCCCGCAGGCACCACGGAGTGCAATGCGGCTGCCAGGAAGCCAGGCCTTGCAGGTGCAGAAGGAAAAGGCCATTAAGGGCAGAAGTGCTATATCAAAGGGGTTGCCCTGTGCTGTGGGAAACCAGTAGAGGATGTGTGAGGCGACGGCTTCCCAGAGGAGGTGGTCTTTGGGCTGGATCCTATAAGATGCACATAGCTGGCCAGTAGAGGAGACAGCATGGGCAGAGGTCTGGAGGAGTGGTGTGGCAGAGCCTGCCCCAGGTGGAGGGATGGGTCAGTGTGCCAGGAGTGCTGAGCTCAGAGGCTGCTGGGAGCTGCCGGCGGTGGCCAGGTCTCCAGGGGCCTTGGATGGCAACCCAGGCAGTTTGGATTCCACCTAGAGGCCTGGGGCAGCCCTCGGATTGAGGCTGGCTAATGTTGATCCCTCTGTGCTCTCCCTCGACAGCCTTACGCCCCAAAACCTGCATAAGTGAGAAGGAGACGGCAAGACGGTGGCGGTGCTGATGGGCTGAGGCAGGAGAGCTGGTCCTCTCATCCAGCAGGGGAACCTGTCACTGGCCCCCACTCAGTACCCGTGTCCCCCGCTGCATCCTCAGTGTCAGCCAGCTGGAACCCCAGGGGCTGGAAGAGAGCTGCGGCCAGGACGGGGGCCCACTGGGGAAAAGGGACTCGAGGGGTGGACGGCCCTGGAAATGGCAGCAGTTACAACAGGAGGAGGAAGGAGCTGCTGCTGCAGAGTGTGTGTGGCCTTCGCCTCCCCCACAGCGACCCCGGGGACACCTGGCTTGGTGCCTCTCCTGTAAGATCCAGCAGAGCGGGGCCCATGTCCACTCAGGCCTGTTGTGGGACGCCTGGGCTGGGCCTGACTGGGGCCAGGACAGTGAAGGGAACTGGGGAGGCCTCCTTTCCAGCCTTGTCAGGGCCCTGAGTATGGCTGAGCAGGACAGAGGGGACCAGGCCTCCAACACCGACATGCGTGGGATGTGCCAGGAGGCTCTGCCTTCAGAGGCCAAAGCTGAGGCGCCAACAACTCCCCCCGCCACACACACACCCCTGCCTCATTTGGGGGCTGGCACAGTGGCTGAGAGAGTGGGATTGTTCTGTGGACCCCGGAAATGTCTAGCCAGGACTGCTATAAGGCCCTCACTCATCCCGGGTCCCACCCAGGCCCAGTTGAGAAGGAGGGATGCCTTGGGGGATCTGGCCCTGCAGGGGCCTCTGTCCTCTTCTCAGGCCTGAGAAGGGGTTGGCTGATGGCATGGGTCCTGCTGAGGGAAGGAGGGGAGCTGTACCCCCGCCATCCAGATCTGGGCCCTCAGGATGGGGCCCAACAGGATGGGCAGGCGGGCAGCTCAGAGCCCACAGGGCAGTGGGGCCCCTCCAGATGCCCTCTGGATGCAGGGCAGGGGGGCCGAGGACCAGTGCCACAGACCACCCTCCAGCCTAGAGGCCACCTCCCTTGCCCTTGAGCTTTGTCTGGAGGGCGGGGCCGCTCTTTTATGATCTGATCCAGGCTTTTCTTGCTCGCTTCTTCCTTCCTGTTCACGCCTGTGCCCTTGGAGTCAGGCGATGGGGTTCTTGTTATCGGGACCCCGCCCCTCCGCCCTCTTCCAGCAGCTTCCCAGCGAGTTGGAAATGTGCCTCGCACCCCAGCTGAGTGAAGACCAGAGCGCATCTATTTCCATCAATGTAACAAGCTCGGATCAGGGACCTAATTGGTTTCCCAGTGGTGGGTAATTTCTCCTTCCCAATATTAATCCGTTGTTTTCCTGGCGCCCAGCCCGGCCCGCCGCGGTACTGTACTCGACGTACGTTCCTATGCAACCGAGAGCCCCAGCAAATACTTTACGAGCTTTGCAGCTTCAGCTCGAGCAGCTATGCAAATGCACTTTTCATTTGGAGCGCTGGGCCAACGTGAAGATAAGAACTGTTTCTCCCGGAGAAGATCCATCATTTCTGTAGCTTCCAAGCCCCCTGCTTCTCTGCCCACCTCCCACGTGTGGCGAGCGCCTCAGGGCTTTTGACTCCCAGGAGAGCTGACTCCTGGGGGAGCTGGGGGCTGATCAGACCAGCTCTTAGGGACCAAAACCGGTGCCACTGCTTCCGAGGGAGCCCCGCTCTCCCTTCCCACCCAGGCTCGGGCACAGGTCAGGTTTGTCAGGAGATTGTGCGAACACGGCTCCCAGAATCTCCATGGATGTTTGTCATTACTGTATGCACCGTGCAATTTAGGAGGGAAGAAAGGCCGTGTAGACATTAACTCTAAAATAAATTCCTATTTTCTTCTCTTGCAAAATCAGTGAAAGATGTTATTAAGAATATAGTGTCATGCGCTAGATTTGGGGTGAGACAGAAGGAGCACGTGCTGCCTCCAAGAGCTGAGTCAGAGTCCACTGGAGGCTGGCCGAGTGACGTGGGAGAAGTCCCCTCTCTGAGCTTCCCTTTCCCCACTGGCACATGGCGCGATGGTCCCCGCACAGTGTGTAGCACAGACCATGGAAGCCCTTCCATACGTAGAGGTTATTCCAAGCCTGGCCCTGACTCATTAATCCACATGGCACCCTCAGGGGAAGGCACGACCCCCGTTCCTCATTTACAGAGAGGGGAACTGAGGCACAGCTTTGGAAGCCATTAGTCAGTATGCAACCCTGAGAGCTGCGGCGGGGTGAGCCCCTGGCTCTTCGGCCCAGGGCTTCCCCCAGCATGCGTGCATCCTGGACGCTCACACCCGGACGCCTGCTTCCTGCAGACACTGGGAGCTTCCTGCGTTTCCCCACCGCCCTGCTGCCTTCCAGGGTGAGCGCTGGCGGCTCTTGGCGTCTGGATAAAGGGGCCCTTGAGTGAGAGGGGCTTCAGTTGAAGGGGATCTGAACGGCACACAGCTCAGCACCGGTGATGGCCCTGGCGCTGGGTCAGAGGCCCAGTTGGAAACCTCCCTCACTGTATGAGGAGAGTCCTTCTGTCCAGCCGCTGTGGAGGGAAAGTGGCAGGGCCTGCCCCTGCCCCCCTGAGTTCCTATGAATGCGGGGTGCCCTGCTCCGCCCAGCCTCCCTGGGGTCGCCGGGGTCATCTCTGGGCTGCCTGGAGACACTCAAGCGCAGGCAGGCCCTTCAGCAGTCCATCTGTGGGGGGAAGCTGGGTGGGGCATCGCAACTTCTTAGCCTCTTATTCAGGGGCCAGGCCAGTGACATCAGGGAGCAAAGCTGGCCTGCGAGGACCTAGTCAACAGGGCAGCACAGGCCCTTCACGGGGGAGCTGCAGCTCAGCACCGAGGGTCCAGCAATGCCAGACCTTCGAGATTTTCAAAAGAAGCCCCGGGGGCCGGCTCCGTGGCCGAGCGGTTAAGTTCGTGCGCTCTGCTGTGGCGGCCCGGGGTTCGGATCCTGGGCGTGGACATGGCACCGCTCGTTAGGCTACGTTGAGGCGGTGTCCCACATCCCACAACTAGAAGGACCTGCAACTAAGATATACAACTGTGTACGGGGGGGTTTGGGGAGATAAAGCAGAAATAAAAAGAAAAAAGATTGGCATCAGTTGTTAGCCCAGGTGCCAATCCTTAAAGAAAAAAAGATTGGCAACAGTTGTTAGCCCAGGTGCCAATCATTAAAAAAAAAAGACACCCCAAATCCAGGTGTTTTATTTTTAACATGAAATCCAACTTTTAAATATTGTCTCAATTCAGCAAACAAACACCGAGTGAGCCAACTCAAGCCCGTGCAGGCGGGCTCCAGCCGGTTACGAGTCTGCGGAGCCGACCCCCAATCCGGGCTCCCACCCCTCAGCATGACACCAGCCCCCTGCCCCCTGCGAGGCTGCATCCCCATCCCCTGGCTTCACGCATGTCCCAGGGCTGCTTCCTCCTGGCCCCCTTTGCCTCTCCTGGGAGGAAAGAGGTGGGAGGGGACCCTTCCTGGACCCTTGGCCCCCACCCCGCAGCCCCCATGGGCAGAAAGGCAGGGGTCAGCTGGGTGACCTTTGCCTGCTGGAGGTGGCAGCCCCCACTCTCCATGGGGGGAAACAGAGGCCTTCCTGTCCCTTCCCATCCTGCTTCCCATTCCTCGCATCCCACCCCACCCCATAGGCACCGGGGTGTAAATTAGCCCGAAGCTGCAGCTGTCAGGCGCCCAGGGGCTTGTGGGCACCCAGACCTGGGTTACTGGGAATGCATCTTGGCTACAGCAACAAGAGGCTTAAGGAAGAGCAGGCGCAGGCTCCCGGAGGAATCTCCCTCTCCGGCCTCTGTCCCCGTGGGGACCTGCCCTCCTCTCCTGCAGTGGGAGGGCCCTGCTTCTGTTTGTTCAAGGTTGTTGGTTTGTTTGGCTCCAGACAGTTCCAGCACTGGCATTCTGACCTCAGAAGGACCCAGACGGTCCCTCCCCAGGCCTCACCTCCCACCCCACCTGGAGCCAGGACGATCCCGTTCTGAGGCTCCAGGCCCCACCCGGCCTGAGGGACACTGAAGGTCACAATCTGGTAGCTCAGCCTACTCAAGTTTGGCTGGGTGTGCTGGTCTGGACAATTCCCTCCTTCTCCGGAAAAACTGGAAGATGGGGCTACTCTGGTCCCACGTTACTCGATGGCTCTGGAGCCTGGGCAGGCGCTCCCCAGATCTCCAGTCCCCACAGCCCCTCTGTCTCACACTTGCATTACAGTCCCAGTCCCACAGGCATCTGAGTTTGCACCCCTGAGACGGAGGCGGGTAATGGATGTGGAGGAACGGGGGATGGGGTGACAGTATTGTGGGGCCCAGCAGGAAGCCCAAACTCCTTGTTGTAACTCACAAGGCCCCACACACTCTGACCCCCATTGACTGCTCAGCAGCAGACTTTGTGCCCTCACCCTGAGCTCCAAGCACTCTGTCCCGTCGTGGGGCTGTACACAACCACACAGTGTTCCTCTCAACCCCAGGCCCTTTGCACATGCTGTGACTTCTGCCTGTGGCCTCCCTCCTCATCCTTCAGTCCCTGCTGCAGTGGCCCTCATCCCTCCAGGGTGATTCAGGTTTTGCCTTGGTTCACCTACATAGCCCTTCTCACAGTCTGAAGCGATACTTTTATTGTTGGAATTATTTGAGCAATCTCCCTGGAATACACACCGCTAGGGGGGAAGACGGTGTCTCTGATCCACTGTGGCAGTTCCAGGGTGCAGCTCAGAGCCAGGTGCACAGAAGCCCCCAGTCAATCGTTCTTGGGTGAGTGCGGCCCAGCGCAGGTCCGCCGTGGTCTCAGGATCTAAATCAACCCCGCAGCCCCCGGGCCATCCTCTGTCCTCACTTCCTTCCAAACAAGGGGTCGGCCCCCTGGCGGCCTCAGCTCTTCCTGGGCTTGAGCCTCCCCCGCTCGCCCTGTCCTCAGGCCTGGCTGCGCGGACAAACGCCATGAATCAGGGGGACGTTTCCATTACCAGAGAGACGAGGCTGCAGCGGGAGGCTGGCTCTGTGGGCAGTGGGGCCGACGCTCCTCACAGCCCCCAGCCCGAGAGAGGAGTCGGCCCAGCGACTCCCTGAGGCCTGGGCCGGCCCGTCAGCCCCTGGGGGCTCTGCACCTGGGGAGGGCGAGACGTGGCCGAACAAGACGGCGAGCCCCGCGTCAGGGCGCCGAGCAGGCACGGACACGGGCGCAGGGCTGGCGAGGCCCAGGGCCAGCACGTGCATCGTGAGTGTGTGCAGAGCCAGCGACAGCCCACCGCGCAGCTCAGTGCCGAGCGCACACGCTTAGCACGCGTGCACACGCAGAGCGCTAACTCGGCTGTACACGGTCCAGGTTGGCGGGCGCACATGGGCATGGGGACACAGGGCGGCCAGGGGCGGGGGCCCAGGGCAGAGCGAGGCTGCGGGAACTCCTCTGGGCTGGGGTCCGGCCAACCTGCCCGGTGAAGATTGAAAGGCCGCACCCACAGCCAACACCCATCCCCGCAGGGGTCAGAACAGGCTGCTCAGTGCAGGGGAGCTGGGAGCCGGGAGAGGAGTCTGCAGGCGCAGGAGGAGGGGCCTGTGCAGCCCCATCTAGGCCTCTCTGTGCTCGCCCAGGCACCCCCACCTTCCCAGCAGGCAGTCCTTCCTGCTCCCAGACCGGGGCAGACAGTGGCATTTGCTCCCTGCATGCAGACAACCCTCCCAGGAGTTCTCAGTAGTGACCAATCTGGATCACTCAACCTGCCTGCCTGGAAGTGCTTCCTTTTATCTGACCAGCAGCCTTCTTGCTGCAGGTTCCGTGAGATTGAAAGACAGCTAGCTTTCAGCCCCTGCCCAGGAGGTGCCCAAGAGGAGACAGGAGGCCTCCTACCTCCTTCCTTTCCCTCCCTGGCCTGTGCAGCAGGTGAGAATGGCCCTTGCTTGAGCCGTCCAAGTACCATAATCACATACCATTTGTACGATTATTTATTTAATATTTTTATTTAAGCCAACTCTTTCTTTCTACTTAAATGCCTACTTTGGTTTCATCCTAAGCAATAATGTCCATGAAATCACGGCACTCATGTGCCCGTTTACATTTTTTTCCTAATACACATTTACATGAACGCAACAATTAAAATAGATTAAAATTTTGCCTGTGTGTCAACTAAAATCATCTCCAAGACCTCTGTGGTCTGCTTGCCAACTTCAGGAGAACGCGGGTGAGAACAGAGATGCCTGGCGCCCTGGCTGGATTCCTGTCAGACACCCTGCCTGACCCCATATCTGTGGGGTTTCTTCCCGCCCAGAGGCCAAAGCCCAGACTCCTTGTCCTGACATTCAAGGCCTTTGTAACTGGGCCCCAGTCTCTCTCCCGACCCATCCCCCGCCCCACACAATATTTACTGAATGAATGGAAAATGGATTAATGAATCGCTCACTTGATGGATCAATGCGTGAATGAATGAATGAGCACGCACCTCCACTGGCGTGTCCCCCAGGCACCTGAGACTCGAGACATGGGAACCACCCCCACCCAAGCCCACAACCTGAGAATCATGGCTGATTTCCCCTCCCCGACATCCATCCACCCTGAGCCTGCTGACTCTCTCCTGACGAGCTCCTGCGACGGCTCCCACTGTCCCACCCCAGGGCCCCTGGGCTGGACCAAACCACCCTCTTCTCCCCCTTCGAGTGTGGGAAAGATGAGGAAGGGAGCCGCGCTGCCCACTCTGGTCTCTGCCCACCGCTGCAGTGACCTTCCTAGAAGGCACAACTGGGGGCCCCGTCGGCCACGGCCCCAGGATAAAGTCCAGGCTTGCTGAGTAGGCTTCGAGCCCCTCTGCCCTGGCTCCCCGCCCTCCGCAGCCTGGTTTCCCACCACCCCCCGCCCTCCCTTCTCTCCAACCTGCCATCTAGACTACTTCAAAGTCCCTATAATGTCCCCAAATTTCTTCCCCTCTACACTCTTGCCTGCCTGACATCTAGACAACCTTCATGTCTTGGCTTAAATGTCATTTTCCCAAAGGAGCCTTCCCTGACCGCCATTACCCACACGAGGCGGTGCTGCTTTTGGGCTCCCGCAGCCCCTGACTTCCCCTCATGGACGAACAGCAAACACTAACCAGCACGGACTATGTGCCAGGCTCTGTTCTAAGTGTTTCGCATACATTACTCATTTAACCCTCAGACGAGCTGTAAGAGGTAGGTAGAATGATTATCCCCACGAGCCCATGGGGACGAGGCACAGAGAGGTCAGGCAACTAGCCGAAGGTGTCAAGTGGAGGAGCTGGAATCTGAACCCAGGCTGCCTGGCCCAGGACCGGGCACCACAGCACTTCCCACAGTCTACCACACACACACTGCACTATATACACACACGCACTGTAATCGTCTGTCCAGTTATCTGTGCTGCCCATCTGTGAGCTCTGCGAGGACAGACACCTTCTCTGGATGGTTCAGTCTCCTATCTCAAGTACCTACCACAGTGCTTGGCACATAGTAGGGGCACAATGAATTATATCATTGGAGAAATGAAGACACAGATATGTGGTTGATCATGAGGATGGGTGATGCATGATAGGAGGATGGATGGAGGGAGGGAGGGAGGAAGGGAGGGGATGGATGGATGGATGATGGAGCACAGGTGATGGAAGGATGGATGGATGATGGAAGATGGATTTATGGAAGAGTGAAGAACATTCTCTACTTGGGGGAAAGGTCTAGAAATCCTCTGGGAAGGGATGAGGCCTCTTGGAGTCAGGAGTCCTGGTTCAAACCCCAACTCTGCCATCTGCTAGCTCTGTGATCTTGGACAAGTTACTTCACCGCTGTGACCCTAAGTTCCCTCATCTGTATAATAGGGATCTGAGCTCTAGGATTTGATGTAAAGGTGGCTCTAGACCCAGGGTAGGGGTCCCCGGGGTAGTCAGGGTGGCTTAGGGCCTGGTTTTGAGGGCTTGTCTCATGCCCACTTCACATGTCCCGCCTGCCTGGCCCCTGCCCTGTCCCCCCTCTGGAACCCAACCTGGCCACCTGGCTCCATTTTGACCCCCCCCCCTCCAGGCCCAGCCTCGGCTCTAGGTTCCCTCCCTCCCATATCTCCATGTCTGGCCCTGACCCCAGCACACTCAGGGCTGTCTCACCTTCCGGCTCCTTGGGGGCTAGATGGAGTGGTACCATGAGGGGGCAGCCACAGCCCAGAGAGCAACTGGCCTCCAAGCACAGCAAGAAAACAGGTTCCACAAGCATTTATTGAGCCCCTGCTCTGTGCCTGCTGAGTGACCCCCTGCGGTGCCAGCACCACTGCCCTTCCTTCCAGAAGCGCCACCACTGCCTGCCCCTGCAGGCCTCTGCACCGATGGGCCCCTCCTGAACCTCCTGGCTGGCTCGTGGGTCCCCAGGCTTTCAGTGGCCAATGTCCATATCTTTCCTGGTGTCCCAGCTGCACCCTGCAGGGCTCTGCATGTGATGGTGGCAAGAGTTAGGAGTGGCTGTCCCAAACTCGCTTTCTGCAGCCCTGTGCATTCCCTCCGGCCGCCCCGGCCCCATTTGCAGGGCCGGGGGACCCAGGCAGCACTGGGCAGGCCTGGTGTCTCCCACGCAGGCTGGCTGAGTTCACAGCACACGGGCCAGCTTTCCAGAGGTACCAGACCGCGGTCTTGTGTCAGGGGGCTGGTGCCTAATGATGGCCTGAGGTCTGGAGGCCAGGCTGGGTCTCGGTTACACCCAGTGCCCCAGGACCCAGCACTGGCGGTTCAGCTCTGGCATCTCCTGTGCAGAGCTCCGGGTCCAGGAATCTCCCATGTGTGGCTGGTGTCCTGCCAAGAGACAAGGTGGTCAGCGCTGAGAGCTGCCTTCCTCCACCCCCACCCCATCTGCCCACCAACCTGTCAGCTTGCCATCCACCCACCTGCACATCCACTCCCCCCGACCCTGCTACTTGCCAGGCCTTCCACCTACCCTCTAACACTCCTACCCACCCATCTATCAACCCGCAGTGCCACTCTCCAGCTCACCATCCACCCACCTGTACACACAGCTCTCCACCCCGTCCCATGCCCTCACCATCCACCCATCACCCACCAGTCTACCAACACATCTCTAAGCTGGTCATGCCTTTGCCAGTATCTGCTGTCATCCACCTACCAACCCACCCATTTACCCGCCACCCCACTCACACACTCTTTCTACCCACAACCCACCCACAGCTCTAAAACCCATTCATACACCTCCACCAGTCCACGCACCTATCATTGCGCCACCCATTCTTCTACCCTCCCCATTAACACACCCACCAGTCCAGTCCTACATACACATCACCTATAACCCAAAACATCCACATATCCATCCACCCAGCCACCGTCCAACTCACCCGCCGCGGCTACTTTCCAACCTGCTGGCACATCCACCATCTCTAACCCCCATGTGCCCCCCACCAAACCCTCCATCCTCCTTTCCCCTGACTACCCACCCAGCAATCCCCACTGCACCCACTGATCCTGCACAGCCACTGCCCACACACTCACCCCCCACATCAGGCCATGCACCTGCCCCGTCAGCCTTCCCTGAGCTCCGCTGTGTGCCTCCACGGGCTCAGTGCACGGTGGGAGGGCTGGAAGGACCAGTGTGAACAGCTCCCAGCCTCGGTCCTTACTTGACCCCGGGACAGTGGGCAAGTGCATGGGTGTGGCCAAAGCTGTGAGCAGCTCTGTGGGCCAGGGCAGTGGGCAGAGACCCTGCCCCCTCCCCACCACTGCCCCCTGCTCTTGACAGTCCGGCCAAGCGGAAGGGCTAGGAGGCTCGTCCTGATCCAGCATCCTCAGTCTTGTGTTTTCCTTGATTCTCGGAAGCTTACTCCCTGCCTTAGAGCAAATGCTTCCTTAACATCTTTCTAACACACCAGAACCCTCTCCGTCTCCACCCAGTGCCCTGCCTAAAATCCTTGTACCTACAGTCACTCGAACCTTCCAGGCCCAGCTCAAGCCTCCCCTCCTGCAGGAAGCCGCCCCACAGCCTCCCCCGGCCCTTGAGGGTCTCCTCATCTTGGAGGACCCACACTGAGTGGCACTGCCCAGCTTTGCCCCCCTTAGACCATGAACCCAGGAGAGCGATGGCTCGACCCATGGAGAATGCTCCGTGGTGGGTCGACAGAGGTGGAGCCAGAGAGAGGAAAACAGAGGGAGGAGAGCCGGGGTGGAGGGCAGGCTGGAGGGCCAGGAAGAAAACTGACAAGCCCCACTCGATTTTAGTCCCGCAAGCCTGTGAGGTAGCTGCCACCCATTTTACAGATGGGGGCACTGAGACTCAGCAAGGATAAGTGGCTGCCTCAGGATCCACAGCTATGGTGGAGCTGCATTAAGTCAGTTTCTTCCTGATGCCAACTTCTGCAGTACAGGAAATTTGTTCCATGTTGCTTTGTTTTCCTACTCGGAGCTCTAATGGATGCTCAGACATTTTTGTCATTCTTTAGGGTCAGACACCTGTTTATAGCAAGCCCCCTCAGTGGGAATTCCTGCTGAAGTCACGCTCCCGCTTGCACACCTCCGCGGACAGGCCGCTCATTACTCTTCCTTCACACCCAGAGTGGCTCCGACTGTGGGGAGATTCTTCCTGATAACAAAGCTAGAAGGCAGCAGGCGAAGCACAGACGCTCATGCCAACAGCGGGGGGGGGACATATTTTTCGTTTTGCTTTGGCTTTTTTTCTGTTTTTAATACTCTTTAATGTTGGTGCTTTGCTAATTTTACTATATTTTAAAAAGTAAAAAGTAGGCAACATTTGGCAAACATTCTGGAATCGTTTGGCCTCAGGAGAAACATTTGTTTTGGCCCCAGTCACTGAAACAGTGGTGTTCTCTGGAAGTGCTTGCTGCCAAGATAGAGGTGTTTGAATTCCTTCTTGATCTAGAATAAATATTTGGTGCACAGGAAGCTTTGATTGTTTTTCTAAATGAGTATTTAGAAGTGATTGTAGCTGCTCTTGCTGTTGCCAACAGGCGGAACCTTGGCGAGTTCATTGGAACGGAGAGAAAATGATCACGTATTTTTAAGGAGAAAGGAAGGCCATGGCCTCTGTCCTTCCTTGAGTTAAAACCAGCTCCTTGTCCCCTGGGTCAGGAGGTCAAGGCACCGAGGACCGGGGCCCTCCTCCCCTCTCCAGCCTCCCCGGAGGGGCTTGGGGCCCAAAGCCATTTCCAGTGAGGAGGAAGGCTCTGTCCCCCCAGGCTGGGGGAGCACCCCCAGCCCACCAGACTCCCAGCTCACTTCCCCGCACCCAGTGCCTTTTCTTTTAGACCAGTCACCAGCAAGAAAAAAGAAAAAAGCCATCTGCCGTAGGTTGGGGAATCCCACCTCAGAAAGTCCACTGCCCAAGCAAAGGACATCAGCGGGTGAAGTGGCCAGGAGCAGACATTCCTCAGCTCTGCCCAACTGTTGCCATGGACTGTGAGAGTGGATCTTCCAAAAAGTTCACAGAAACTGAAAATCAGGATTTCGAAATAAAATCTCCTTGTTCTTAAATGATGACAACTAAGGCTTTTAAAACCTTTTAAATCACCTTCAGGCCAAGAAGCATCTCTCAGGCTGGACTCAGCCCACAGGAAGCCAGTTCTGATCTCTGACTGTTTCCAGGCCTCTGTTTCATGGCTCTGTTCTGTGGCTTTGCACATTCTGGTCCTTTGGCCAGCTGCCCTTCCCTGCTGTTCTCTGGCTGTTGCGTCTCCCACTCCTCTTTTAAATGCTGCCCGCTCTGGGAGGCACTCTGTGACCTCACAGGCGGAGGCCTCGCTCCCTCCTCTGTGCCCATCCTCTCCCCCTGCGCTGGCTGAGACGACAGCGTTGTGTGGTTGGGGTCTCCCCACCTAACCTCAGGACTCCATGCAGCAGGGCCTGGATCTGCTTCATCCCGGGCCCTCAGCCCCCAGCACCTGGCTGCGCACAGAGCAAGTCCTGAGCTGACTTTTTATGACAAGTTTTATAACAAACGAAGAAACCATGCAGGAGGAAGGAGTGACTCCTAAGTTGGAGGGACGAGCTCTGCCTCCCTTCCTCATCTGAGATTCTGTACGTTACAAGAGGCTCTTTGCTCAGCCTCTCCTCCTTTGGGCACAGGCTCAGAGGGAGAAAAACTGTACTTGGAGTCTGACAGTCAAAGGTTCAAGTCCACACTCTACTGCTGACAAGCTGTGTGAACTTTTTTTAAGCTGTGTGGCTTCTGACAAGTAACTTCACCTCAGAGCCTGCAAATGGACGTGAGTCACAAAGGAGTCAGCAGGCCCAGCAGGACCCCTGCTAGAAGTCCTTCATTACCCCACCTCATAGAGATGTGAAAATAACAAAATGCCAGTACTGGGGGTGGGGGGTTCCACCACCTCTCTTCACAGATGGGGAAGCCCAAGTCTGCTGGCGGAAAGAGATTTATCCAAGGTCCCACTCAGAGAGTTGGTAGCAAGCACTGTGTTTAAATTCCCTGGGAACCTCCCGGGCTTAGCAGAGTATTCAGCCCATAGGAGCTTCTCAGAAGATGTGATTTCTCTTCTCTTTTTATTCCAAATAGCAAAACATGAACAAATTTAACATCCAGTCTCTTCCAGTCCTCACTTTCCAATCCTTCTCTAGGAAATCACGGTCTTAAACCCTCTCCAAGGCACCAAGGTCCCGGGGAATCAGCTCTTAGCTCTGCTGAACTGAGTGAAATGACACCCACTGTTCCAAAATGGACTCACTGGGTTGGAAGGGCCCTTCAAGACCAAGAATGCCAATGCCACCACATGTGTGCAGGTGGGGGAACCGGAGCCCTGACAGGGGAAGTGACTTGCCCAAGGTGCTCTGAAGCTGGTAGAGGAATTAGTGAGGGTGGGCAGGCCCCGGGGGTGGGCAGGTGGCTGGTATGGCTGCTTCTGACCCCACAGAAGCCCAGCCCTGCACGGGAAGAGCCGGACCCCTTTACAAGGCAGTATCGTCAGGCTACTCGCCCTCCCTCTGTCCGAGGTGCTGAAGGCCTCTCTCTAGAGCCTCCTTTCTGGCTGCCTAACCTTGAACTCTCACCGCTAGAAAGAGATGGGATGTGGGGAGTCCCAGAGAAACGAATCAAAGTTGGCACTGCACTGTCTGGCTTTGGAGACCCTTTAGCTAGAGACATCGTCATCCCTCTTCTGCTGCCTAAAATGCCACAACCTCAGTGAGGGCACCCCAACTGCCTTTCTAAGCTGACCCTCCTCTGTAAGTCTGCACCGTAAGGGGCTTCATCTTATTTGGTAACAGCTCTTTACTTGTTTCCTCCAAGTTTCCCCTACTAGGGCTGTATGTGACACCAGGACACAGACTAGCTCTGCTTTTAATAATCGCTTTGTCCCCAGTACCTAGCACAATTCCAGGTACAGTGTCAAGAGTAGATCTGTTGAATGGATAAACAATGGAGGATTCAGGAAGAAGAGCAGGTGTGTGTGGGATGTGTGGGATCCATGTGGCGGGGAAGGTTGGGTCTCTGGTCTATCTTGGGGGCAGGCTGTCCGAGAGATCGAATGGCGGCCCCACCCTTCTCTTCACTGGAGTCCATCTTCTAGAACCTCTTGTTTCTGGGCCATAACAGTCTCTCCATCTCTTCTCCACACTTGGGATCAGGCTGAATCCACCTAACCTGCTACCTGCCCCCAGACTACTGATTCCTTCCCTCTCTTACGAAACATTTGTTGAGCACCTACTGCGTGTCAGCCTCCATGCTGGATGCTAGGTCTACAGACAAGAGCGAGATGCAGAGGCCCTCTGGGTGCTCACAGTCTGAGAGGACAGACACACATAGGAGAGAAGATAAGAGCGAA